ACGAACACAGCGCTGGTTTTCATGCCTCTCATTTGTTCAAAAAATATTCCGACGCAGCCCACAGTTTTAACACACAATTAAATGATTTGTTGGCCCCAGCGAACTCTTCCATAAAATTCCAAAGCAAACGGTCGACACTGCCGCAATCTGCCGCAAGCGGTGGTCGCCGAGCCAGTAGGTCAAATAGAATCGAAGCCCCCAGAAATTTTGGGGTATGAGATTGAATAGGACCATGAACACAAGCCCTGTACTTAGATGGGCCATGGAATTAGTTAACTAGTTAGTAAATGGATTATTTCATTGGGATATAGAGGGTAAAGAATCCCCAGTTACTAACCAGTTATATAGTTAATCCCATGGCCCATCTAAGTACAGCAGAATCCCTTTGACATGACGCTGCCTTCATAACACTTCATCCCACTGGCTGGTCACCAACTTCCCAGGAGCCCTGGAGGAATTGCTGGTGCCCTCTGGGTGCCGTTTCGCGACGTAGCCTCTGGTTATGACATTCACAGTTTGCCATGGACAGATCCACCATTTCTAATAGGTAAACCATCTATTTCGATAAATGGGCCATCGAAAAACCATGGCAAACTGTTAAATAACCAGAGGGTAACTGAAATCGCTGCATTGCAGCCAATACACACCTTCTGAATCCTCAGCACTTCGATGTACTGCAAGCGAGGGAAACTTTCCTCCAACGTCAGTTTTCTGCCGCAAGCCATGGCCTGCACTTGGCAACATCCAAATATGAGGTTTGCTTCGCCAGTCACGAGCTCGCAGTGGCGATGAGGGGTCACGTTCAACTGCGAGCCATATATATTATATATACTCTTAATTGATACACGAATATCTAATGTGTCTATCTCTATTTCCGATGTCGTATTTCAGATATATCTGGCTGAATTAAAACGATTCACCAACTTTGAACAGAGTCATTTTGGGTTAATCGTTAACGTTTACCACGTTCACAACCTGTTGCGACGTGACGGAAAGCGACGTGAGGTCACGTTGCAAAATGTATCCGGGCTATGGAAATTTATACGTTAACCATACTTAAACTACTTAAAGTACTGAGCTAAAGCAACTTCGCTATCATTATTCAACTATAAATCCAGACATAATCCTCAGTTTGGTTGGATTTCTACGACCATACTTGTTGATGAAATCCCAGTGAAATTCCCTAAATCACCATTTTACTGCACAAGTTCATGAAATCCTCACTTCTTTTTCGTTACCCAGTGGTTCTTTACCATAGCTATCGAAAATTGCCCATTAATAGATGATATATGATGACTTACCTATTTCTTCATGCTGATTTTCCAGTTCTCAAATCGTTACCAGAGGTATGTCCCATGTATATTTCCATCAAAATACCATTAGCAAAATCCAATTATAGGCTGTATATAATCCAAATATTTCCAAATTATATATCATTGAACCATTTGTCCACCATAAAATCATGAATTAAATTCTAGCCCATTTCTTATCCCTGGTTGTTGGTATACCCCTCTGAAAAATGATGTTCTTCAGTTGGGATCTTTTACATTCCCAACTGAATAGAAAATCATAATCTATTCATGTTCCAAAGCACCAACCAACCAGTTATAAGTCTAACATGTACCAACAGTCACCCCATAGAAATCGAATGTATAATCCCATTATAGCTATTATAACCCCATTTCTTATTCCACAGGATGGGCCCCCCCAAGATAGCTAAGTTGCCTTGCAAGTGGCTGAATTCTATGGTTTATGGTAGATATTTCACGAACTAGTTTTCATGGGGGTTTTGTTATGGTTTACAAACCAACGTTCACATTATTTTTGGGGGCCTATAAATCCCAAAAAGTAAATCATCCCATTGATATCCTCATTTTCTAAGTCCTGGATCTGGGGAGCGTTGATAACAGTTTATCCCATTGATATCCTATATAAAAATCCTTATTGTTGATAACAACATTGTTTCCCTTTTCTGTGCCCATCCTGCCATCCTGGATCCTGCGAGTTGAATCGGCCAAGTTCGGCCCTGATTGGCCCATTTTTTATAGGTTTTCATATGGGTTTTGTTATGGTTTATAAACCAACTTATGGGATTTTGTTTCACTTATCAATGGGTAAATCCACGAACTAAATTCTCATTTTCAATAGCTACAAGTACTACAATGTGAGTCCCCCCAGTTATAAGTTGGTTTAGATTCGCCCCAGTAACTATAGTTATAAGTACCATAAACCATAGTTATTGGAGTTATAAACCAAGTTAGCAATCTTGGGGGCCTCACATTGTATGAATAGCAAACTGTAACAAATTACCAATCTCAGTCTCCGCCCATTCAACCACCCAGAAGGTGAACCATCCTATGAACCATTTTCCTATGAACCATATGTAACAAATTACCCCGTGGTAAATTAACAGTTGGACCCTGAAAATGACCAATTTATAGTGGTTTCACTAGTCTTCCAACCCCGATGACTACCAGGGTCGAACTGTTAATTTACTGGAGGGTATATCTCCTAGAAATCATAGAATTCAGCCTCATAAATAAACCCAAATTTTCCATAGCCATTATAACCCCATTATAACTATCCCATCCGAAGCATTTTCCACCGAATTCATAGCGGTGCCTCCAGGCACTGGTCCCAAGGAGCAGCCCAGGTCGATCCAGGACTGCAAGGACGGGGTGACGGCCGGCCAGGCCACTTTTCCATGGGAAAATCAGGGCAAATGTAGGGAAAATGTAGGGAAAATCAGGGGAACTGTAGAGAAAATGAAAGGAAAATGTAGGGAAAATGAGGGGAAATGGATGGAATGATGGGAAAATGAGGGGAAACATGAGGGGAAACATGAGGGGAAAAATGAGGGGAAAAATCGTGAAAGATCATGATAGATATGCAGAAGATTGAATTCATACTTGAATCAATCTTCAGTTCGGTGCCCCAAAATTGCAGACTTGATGATCAAAGGTGAACGATTCGATTGAACAAATATGGGGACACATAAATATTCTTAAATCTACCTGAAATACTGCAAAATAGAAGGACACAATAAGGTGAAAACGAAACATCTGTAAAGTTTCAACTAGTGGAGATTCCTAATATATTTAAATACATGGGTGTGTAAGCAAGAAACCATGAGGATCTACCCAGAGCAGGCAATGGAACTGGGAGAATGTGTTCATAAATGTCTGCTGATTCTCCAGGTGGCAAATGATTTCGATTCCAGTATTCTATATACCACCAATATCCACAAACATCCACTTAAACCATATGTATCCACGATTCTCCAGCTACAAACGATGCATATCGATGCATCCAGTATCCTCCAGTTGTGGTACCCTCTGGTAATTTGTTACATAGCTATTGAACATGGCCCAGTCGAAATAGTGGATTTACCCAGTGATAGCATGGTGATTTTCCATAGTTTTCTGTAAACGTTTACCAGGCCGGGTATCCATGTTTAGCTCCACCAAGGTCGAGCCCTCCGCACCTCAACTTGCGACCCACCAGCCCCACCAGCACCAGGGTGCCCCCAGGGTCTCCCCACCTGACCACTGAAGCTTCGCACGGAATCTATGGGGCAGGGCACTCCCGCGAAGGTGATGTTCACAGCACCACCAGAAGGGTCAGATGTGACTGCCTCAGTGCGTCACGAGACGACCGAGACCGAGTCATCATGGCCAACCGACCTTACCAAAAAAGCCATGGCGTTCTGGTGAACATTTTATCATAGTTGTTCAAAGGCAAAAAGGATGCAAGCAATGAATAAGTATTAAAATACCTATCCAGGTGTTCCCAAGCCATTTTTCACATGAGGTCGCATTTTATCTGATTATTGTTTCATTTTCATGTACATTACAACCCAGTCTATGACCAACAATGACTCCAAAATTTATGTGTACAGAACATAGAAGCCCCCAAAAAAGATAGAACGGTGAAATCCTACTGAAATAGAAGTAGATTGCTATTCTACCTTTCTGGGTGGTGCTATACAGTATACGATAAACCTGCAGCACCAAAAAAAGCCCCGTTTTGAGTGATTTACCTGGTAAATTTACCTCTGCCTAGCAGGTCAAGAACGCCAACATGAGGGTGATAAATAGGATTACATTGATAGAGCCCAATCTGATATAATGATATAACCTTACAACCCCACTGACCCAGTGATATTATATCGACTAATTCAAAGGTATAAGAATTCTTAGTTATAACTGTTCCAACTCTATTTGACGTAACCGTTTACGGAGTTGTGGTCGGCTTTCCATAGAGGTGGTGCCTCCCCATTTACATTTAAATGTTGGTTTTAAAATATCATTATAATACAGTATATACTTCGATATATCTACCACAAACGTCCATAAACCATAGAATTCACCTAGTTTAGATATTCACAACTTAGCACTTAGTTAACGTTTGGGGGCGTCACCTTAATAATCAACCTTCGATGCCATTCGCCCTGAGCTTGTCGGCCGTTGCTGCATCTCCCAACCTCAGGTTCACTGGGACGCTGCGTTGAAGCACCGATGCGAATTGGTTGGATTCTCCATCGTCTGCTTAGCCCTCTGAAAAATGATGGATTGAAAGTCACTTGGGGTGATGAAATTACTGAATGGAACAATAAACATCAATAAACAATGTTCCAAGCCACCAAGCAGTAGTTCATGTTCACTTAGTCATGATTTGAAGTGTCGGTTCAGCCATTTTGGGATAATGAAGGATAACATAGGATAACTGGATAACTGCTGGATGCGGGACCTGTTTTCAAATTTGGGGACCTGTTCCGGGAAAATGTTGGGCCATCGATTTCAGGTCCAACATGGTCCTTTCAGGACCCTGACCCAGCCAAACTAAGGCTGGTTGGTGGTATACCTACCCCTCTGAAAAACATGATTTCGTCAGTTTGGATGATGAAATTCCCAAATTCCCAATATATGGAAAGTGATAAAATTCATGTTCCAAACCACCAACCAGTAAGGGAATTGGTCATTCTTAGTTCTGCTCTCAACTTTTTCAATCCAGTTCTGCTCCGAAACTAGGTGAGACGCCGATGCTTGTGAGTTTCAACGACATCTGCAAGGCCGGCTCCTGGGTTTGCACGGCAGGCTGAGGCCAACAACTGTCCATCGGGCAAAACCACTCGAAGACTTTGGAGTGGAACCTTCAATTCACTAGCAACGCGCTTGTGAGTGTTCCAGGCAGGCTCAAATGGACTTGCATTCAAGTGCATCACTTCATCCCCAGTCAAGCCAGAAAAAGTCAGCAGCATAGTATCATCTTGAAAAGCACAATCCAGTTGCAACACGAGGTTGCTACCAACTGACACATCTGCAGCGTACCAAGTCCCTGGATCAGAGGGTGGAATGTTGCATTGTCCAACCAAATTAAATCCACATGCCACAGCAACACCATCACTTCTTAGAAGTACTGTGTGCATGCTTGCAGCAGAAACCTGGGTGTATGTCATTCTGTCCTCCAAATGTGGAATGTTGCATTGTCTAAAACTATTCCCTCCGCAAGCCATAGCAACGCCATCGCTTCTAAGCAGCACTGTGTGATACATGCCTGCAGAAACCTGGGTGTATGTCATTCCGTCCTCCAAACATGGAATGTTGCATTGTCCACAACTATTCCCTCCGCAAGCCACAGCAACGCCATCGCTTCCAAGCAGCACTGAGTGATCCATGCCTGCAGAAACCTTGATGTATGTCATTCCGTCCTCCAAACGTGGAATGTCGCATTGTCCAAACCTATTCCCTCCGCAAGCCACAGCAACACCATCGCTTCTAAGCAGCACTGTGTGATACTTGCCTGCAGAAACCTGGGTGAATGTCATTCCGTCCTCCAAAAGTGGAATGTTGCAATGTCCAAAACTATTTGCTCCGCAAGCCACAGCAACGCCATCGCTTCTAAGCAGCACTGTGTGATCCATGCCTGCAGAAACCTGGGTGAATGTCATTCCATCTTCCAAACGTGGAATGTTGCACTGTCCAAAACTATTGTCTCCGCAAGCCACAGCAACGCCATCGCTTCTAAGCAGCACTGTGTGCCCACTTTTAGCAGAAACCATTGGTAGGACAGACACGATTTGGCACCTGTTGAGCCGAAAGATTGAGCTGAAACGGCTATAAGAAGTATCCAGTCTTGATACACTCGTGGGAAAATCTAGCATTCAAACAAGTGCATTCCTTCATAAATTTTGACTAGTTTGTTTCCAAAGTTTATTCAATTCTGTTGTAGGTGCATGCGAGCAAAGTGGGGCAACAATGGGGAGGTATAAGCCAACAATGATATGGTAAAGCCAATAAAAATAGGAAAAAAGACCATGGCAGGTTCATACAAACCATCTCAGGATGTAGGCAAGATTTGGGGTGCTTGATGATTCTGTTTTACAATATCAATTAATATCAAGTACAGTAGTAGGTGCATAAGCTCTTGTGGCTTTTGTGGATCTGGTTCTTTCATATGAGAAGGGACCAAAATTAAGGGTCACAAAGGCGGTCACGAGCAACAGTTGTCGCTTTAGGTAGTTCGCTATATCGCTTTGCATTGTTTTCGGGCTATCCCTTTGTGTAGCTGGCAAGACCTCTCAAGCAAGGGTCTCTGCAACCTTTCAGGTCTTTGCTCATATGGACTACCAATATTGGATTTGACGAAACAACATCCTCCATCCCCATCGATGCAGTGGTTGCTGTTGATAGACATGGCATGCAATCTCCGGGTCTGTTCCGGCGGTTGAAACAAGTACAGTAAAACATGAGTAAACCATTCCCTAGGTCATTTTGTAGCCATTTTGCAGTCCGCAAGTGATCAGTTCAGATATGTCATGTGCAGAGTTAAAGACCTCAGAAAGCCAAGGGTAAAAAGGTTGTGTTGAATGGCTCTGTAAACCTATGCCGTGTTTTACAGGACCTTTTTTGCGGCCAGGAAAGATACCTTGTAGGCAAACATGATCTTGGACCATTTAGGTATGTAAACTTGCAGCCATAAACAGCCAGGTTAATCCAAGTTATTCCTATTTATACTATTGGTTATTGGTTGTATCATCACTGCTGGTAAATTAGGTCTATCAAAATAGCGTAGAACATCATAGAATCAGTTCAAACTCCCATACAAATCCTAGTTGGTGGTATACCTACCCCTCTGAAACATATGAGTTCGTCAGTTGAGATTATGAAATTCCCAATATATGGAACAAATAATCCTAAGGTTCCAAACCACTAACCAGAAATCCAGTTTTTGGTGGATAAGTCCTCCATTTTCTCTTCTTATCCCATCTCTCTGGTGTCTTCCAACCGGTGTCCATGGCAATCTGAGACCCATGCGAGGACACACGCACGTAGATGCGATCTTCCGGTGTCCACAAGGGCTCCTGCCGCAGCGCCGTGCCGAACTGGGCAATGAGACCATCCAGAATGGTGCTATGATGGGATATGATGGGATACTCATAGCACCATAATATCCCATATGTTTTTGCTATAATATGGGATATAACCATTGCTATGGATTATCAGGGATTGTTTGAGTTGAGAATGATGAAAATAATGGTTAGCCTCCGGTATCCTCCGGTCATCAAACATGGTTAGCTGGAAAATCCCTCTGTAAATGCTCATTTAAACTTGAAAATTGTCCAAGTTAAATGAGAATGTTCCATTGCCATGTCTGATTACCGGAGGACATATGTAGATCCAAGTACCTTCTGAGTATTTGGGGCCTTGTTGGAGTCAAGCACCATCTCATAGGAATATGTATATATATATACTAGAATCTGATAGGGGATACCCTTTGGTAAACTAACATACAGTAACTATGGAAAATCACCATTTCTAATGGATCAATCAACTATAAATGGCAATTTTCAATAGCTATGTTAGTTTACCAGAGGGTACCAACAATAGGAAAATCTTCAGTCCTCTGTCCTGGTTGTAACCAGCTTTTTTCTTGATGCTTCAACCCACTAAGTGGATGTAGGATTCGCAAAAATTGCTTGGTTGTAACTGTTGGGTCAAGGTTAAACCATCTACGAAGTGGGGAAAAATCCACCAGATATTACAGATATAGTCCATTTGAGTTGGCTGGAGTATGCTTGGTGGGGCCAACTACCTAAAAAAACCCTACCTATCACTTCAAAACATCGTTGACCTGTTTGGTGGCATTAGCTGGTTATACAGTTTCTACACATGTATCAACTTACCTGAACATGTGAAAATCAAATAAGATCATGACAATACCTGGCACAGATAAGATGAACTATAGTGATGTACCAGTTTGGAACCTTTCAGCTATATATATACCACTCCAAGCTTTGATTTCACCATTCGGAAACCAAGCAGAAACTGCATCAAACTTCAATGGTTTACCATGAGGACAGGAGTCTGTTGGCATCTCATTAAACTATACCCCATTCGATGAATGATCATTAAATAGCCATAATTATTTATGATTGTAGTGAATCTCAGTGTAATCATTCAATCAAATCTTGAATAATCATTAAATGTCCGTACCTTGACGGAGATTTTAATAATTATTCACCAGTAAGTGGGCACTCGGCAATTCCCCAATTCCTCAATAGCTAATTCCTATGAAGGTGGCATTCTCTGGACACCACTGAGCCGAACCATGAATCAAGCACTGCTCAGTTCCCCTTATTTTGCCTGGCGAAAACAGAGCCGACCCCTTCAGGGTCTGACTGACTGAGTCGCGCGGAAAAGGACTGAAACGAGGATGCTGATGTTGCTGCTATGTGGCCAGGGACCATCCATGTCAAAGAAGAACCATGTTCAATAATATCTGTCTTGAAGTCAGTGGAAAGTGAACCAAAGACACCATTTTTTTTATACAAAAGCGTCTCAAAAAGACTTGTATAGAATAGACTGTGTTTTTTTCTTTAAAAGTGGGGCGCACACACACACACAAAGTGCAAATGTGATCTCTTTTTGCTGGATATCCATTCTGTCAGCTACCGATGCCTCATCATTCCTGTCCATCGCTCCGACATCCTGAGGCAACCAAATCTAGAACTTGAACAAGTTAATATCTAACTTGAAGCCTTAAACAAAAACAGAGTTTGACTCAGTTCGACCCTGAAAATCACTATCATGTTTTTCTGGAAAGTACCCTCTGATAAATTAACATAGACCCTGGCAGATAGGGGTTGGAAGACTAGTTTCCATTAAACAATGGTGATTTTCAGGGTCAACAAGTTTATTTACCAGAGGGTAATCTTCAAAGCCCAAAGTCATCCAGGATGTCAGACGGTCAAAGTCATCGTGGATCCCAGCGAATCGCTGCCCGCTTCGCGAATCTCAGTACTGCCGTGCAGCCCAGTTGAGCAAAGCTGCACATCGATCCTTAGCGCCAGTCTGGCCCATGGGGAGCCAGTCAGGGAGTGATATGAAAATATGGACAGGTCCATAGCATTTTCCCAAGAAGGGTGAAATATATGGTTATATATATGGTTAAATCACCCTAGAATCCAAACAAAAATCCGGGTTTTGAAAATCATTGGACATATATACAGGACGGGGCCCCCAAGATAGCTAAGTTGCTTTGTAAGTGGCTGAATTCTATGGTTTGTCGTAGATATAACTATAGTTAATGGGGGTTATAATGGTTTATAAACCAACTGATAACTGGGGGGCCCCATCCTGGTAACGGTAGACCCCACGGCACCTCCACCCATGTGATGAAAACTGCCGCCATGGCACTACAGCGGGCAGAAGATCCTCTGCCTGTAAAGCAACACCTCGTGCGTCAGCCCGAGTCGGTAACCATGGTGAACACCATGGACATTGAACCAAGAAAATGTGGATTTCACCACTATAGAGGTGATCTTTTAAGAACAAAGATGTGGATTTGATCCATTAAGATATAGAGTTTCACCTTAAGGTCATGTATATTCTACCATGGACTTTTTTGTGGATTTCAGCAGCCACGGTCTACTTGGAGGATCATCCCGCGAATCGTGCTGCTGAACCACGAGGATGGGATGATACGGTAGAGCCAGCGAGATCTGAATCACCAGTTGATAGATGGTAAACATACACCATTTTTTATAGGGTTTCAACCATCCCAATGTTTTTGGTTGATTGGATTTATTCCGTCCACAATACCATCTACAGTACTTGAACCAGACTTATAAAATGTGAGGCCCCCGAGTTATAAGTTGGTTTAGATTCGCCCCAGTAACTATAGTTATGAGTACCATAAACCATAGTTATTGGAGTTATTTGCACCAACTTAGCTATCCAACGGGGGCCTCACATTGTATAATCCATTTATAGATGGGATAAGCCACGAATCAAGGACTTACTATACGCAGGGCCTACCAGGCTAATGAACCAATGAACCAGTGATTGGAATGATCCTCCAAGCACCGGGGACTCAGCAAAGGCATGGGAAGGCAACTGGGCAGGCTTTCCAACTGTCATGTGACTTTAGACCCTAGACTCTTCTTACAGTTGTATGACCATAACACAAACTGACAACATCAATACCTACAGCCATATATGATACACGCTATACTTGCGCTGGACGACTTCCCATCATCGCGCAAACTATATAGATTCAAACTAAATGAACATAACTATCATAACTGTAGTAAGTAGTAACTCCCAAAACGATAGAACCATAACATTTACCCTCTGGTTATTTAACATAGCCATAGAAAATCCCGTAAATAAATGGAGGTTTCTAGCTGGGAACATCATCTATTTCTATGGGCCATCTATACCATGGCTATGTTAGTCATAACCAGATGGTACACAAAAAAAAGGTGGAGAGTTGACCCTACTTTGGCGAAGAAAATCTGCCCTTCCTCCAGGGAGGACGTAAAAGACCAAGGCACCCGTAATGGGACACACTTGCCGCTGGCTCAACCACGCCAGAATGCTGGAACGCTGGTATAGTACCTCAATTCACTGCGGAAAAACTAAGAAAATTGGAGCCAAGAAAATTTATGTCCACAGAGATTGGGACAGCAAACAACAGGGATATTGATAGATGTCACAGTTGTAAGTACTATAATGATAAATCATCCTGAGTATAGTGACTGGTTGGTTCAGCAGTCCCCTGAACAAAGTGCTGATGAATTCTGAAGTGGTATCATGATCCCATCTTCGCAAAACCGCAAAGCAGACGAGCCGCTCGGGAGGTTAGAGACATTTAGAGACCCCAAATGGTTGTAAACAGAAACATGGATGATTTCTCAGATGACTTTCCTCATATGGAACCCCTTCTTACAACGGCTATTTGGGATGATTATTTCCTCTTGGAAACCGTGGAAACCCCTTGGATGCCAGTCTATGCCTCTATGATCCTCCAATTCCAAGCCATCCACCCTTAGCTGGCTCAACTGGCACTTTTTGGGTCAATAAATTGAGACCCCCAAAAAGGATACACTTCGTTGGTGTTAAGATACCCATGGATTGAATGCCCAGCACTGGCTTTTGCATGGATTTTCCCATGGATTGTCCCATTTTTTCCTAACCATCTCTGAGCCGTTGTTTCCCATTTACCATGATGATTTTCCCCAAAAAAATATCTGGTTGGTGGTGCAATAACCATCTTGAACAATATTAGTCAATGGGAAGGAGTATCCCATATATTATGGAGGTTGACCTACCCCTCTGAAAAATATGAAAGTCAGTTGGGATGATTATGAAATTCCCATATATTATGGAAAATAATCCAAATGTTCCAAACCACCAACCAGTAAGGGAATATGGCAATTTTCAATAGCTATGTTAAATTACCAGAGGGTAACTTCGGATGATTTCTAGTTGCCACATCTTCCAGGCCATGGGACGTCTAACAAATCGCCGTTTGGGGCTGCGAACACGGGCCTCAAGGGAGGTCCCATTTTGAGCTGACGCTCTTGGTGAAGATGTAGAGAAACCCTAAACCAAACATAGCTATTGAAAATGACCATAGAAATAGTGGATTTACCCATTGAAAATGCTGGATCTTTCCATAGCTTTTTGTATTTTTACCAGAGAATATACAGTAAGAATCAAATCAACAAAAAAAACACATGTGAAGAATGTGGGTGTTAGACATGCTCAGTGCTCTAAACCAAGAATCAGCCAGAATTTTCTCGGATCCAAAGTAGCAAGTTCTGTGGGATACCCGGCCTGGTTATTTTTCAAAACCAGAAAGCTGTGGATGGCCTATAGAAATAGATGAACCGAACCTATTCAAAATAAACTGATTTTCCATATAATATATGGCATTACCAAAGGTTGAATTACCAAATAACAAAAAATCTGGTTGGTGGTATGCCTACCCCGCTGAAAAATATGAGTTCGTCAGCTTGGATCATCATCCCAACTATTGGGGAAAATAAAACCACCAACCAGTTATGATTTTCCTTATAATATTAGCATTACCCAACTTTGACCGGTGTGAAAGGGCTATCTTCGCCACACATGAGTGGGACATGGATACAACGAGAAACACGGGTTGTAAGTTGTAACCAACAACACCGCAGAATGTTATGAACAGAAGCGTAATTGGATATCATGTTGGATTATGATCCCACATATTTCATTATGACATAGTGTTTGAGAGCACCAGTCTAGACACTGATAAACACTACAACTTCCAGGGAACCCTTGGGGTATCAAGCTTCAGCCCCTACTTGGATGTGATCCCAGCTAGAAAGTTGTTCATAACCAGGATTGGTTCACCCAGTTACCTATGGATGAAGAAGCAGTTGGAACTAGCTTAATCGATAGCTCGCTTAGTTCATTGGAAAACCGACCAGTAAGTGGATAATAACCAGAGTAGTACCCTCTTGTTATTTAACGTAGCGAACTGGGACATCACCATTTTTAATACGTAAATCATAATGTTTATCATCTATTTCAATGGGCCATTTTCCAGTTCGCAAACTGTTCAATAACCAGAGTAGTATCTGTTTCCCCGGTGACAAAGCAGAAACCCTACGACCCTTGGGATCCTTGGACCTCAATCCTTTGCTTTTGCCGAAGGGAAGCTGCAACCCCAGCGCAGCTTTTGTGGACCTTTTCATCCTTTTCGTGATGTTCATCATTATGATTATCTGGGCAGTAAGTGGGAGTAAAGTTCCAACTCTATGCCCCCAAACAAAAACATCATAATCGTTTGGATGTTCACTACTCGCCTACCATTTGTCTCACCAGTGTTCACAATTCACTATCATCTCGCAATTACCCTCTGGTAAACTAACCTAACTATGGAAAATCACCATGCTATTAATGGATAAATCCACTATTTCTATGGCCATTTTCAATAGCAAACTGTTCAATTACCAGAGGGTATTCACCATTATTGGAACGATTGTTCACCGTTTCTCACCGTTGTTCCACATTTCTTTCACCATGGTTTCCCCATGTTTTGACCATGTGTTCATCATATTTCAACATGTTTTCACATTTGTTCCCTATCCCACAATGGGTATGGATCCATATACTGGCGAAGGTACCCTCTGGTAATTTAACATAGCTATTGAAAATGGCAATTTATAGTGAGTTTTCCTATAAAAAATTGTGATTTCCATAGTTTTTTGTCTGTTTACCAGAGGGTACTTCCCAAAATCATAGCCCACATACTTCCAAGGTACCCGAATCGACAGGGGTTGACCAAATTTACAGTACCCGTGAAAACACCACCAGGCTGGGGCGGCCGTGCTCGGTACACAACCGGCCATCCAAAGCACAGCGCAGATCTTTGGGACTCGTCGCCAGCTGAGAGAAGAGCGCAGATCTGCGACCTGCGGAAAGGTGCAGGGATTAGCCTCTGGTAAACATACAAAAAACTATGGAACATCACCATTTTTGTATGGGAAAACTCACTATTTCGACTGGGCCATGTTCAATAGCAAACTGTTCAACTACCAGAAGGTACACACTTTTCTGTCTTAAATGGGTTGATTCAAATGGGGGTTATATCGAGTTCTAGTTTTTTCATGGGGATGAAATAAACCTAAATAAACCAACGAAACCACATCACGTCTGGGGGGTACCACCTTGTAGATATTACTGTAACTATCCCTATGGATCCAGTTGTACCTTCTTAGGAAATACGACTGGGCTATGCGGCTATGATTTAGGGAGTGTCAGCCGTACTGTACCTTCTCAGACAGTGTTTGGATCCATAGGGATGTTATATGATACACATATTATTGCAATATGTTACAATATTATAATGTTGATTGATATCCTTATCCCGATGATTGATAATATTCACATTCAGCCAAACCTACAAAGTGGTGCCCCAATGTGTGCAAGAAAAAACTGCTTTCCACCAACAACAACAACTTTGGCGGCAAAATCCCTCACTTTCTTTATCCTTTTCTTGCTTGTGAACCCTCGAAAAAAAAAAGGAAAACTCAGCTGCCCCCCGGTGCCTAAGGTCTTTGGCCCCGGCGCTGGCACGTTCAGATCACCCAAGGGACCCGAGAGTTTTGCAGACCTCGGTGGGGCGAAGCAATTCGCACCTGGCGTGACATGTAACAACTCCACCACAAAGTAACCACACGTCAAGTGAAATTTTCATCATTGAAAACCACCAAAAAATCATCAAACGGTTCAATAAATACTGAAAATCCCGCACTCATCACAAGAATTTCTGGTGTCAGCATTCAAGTTCATCCAGAGCTACAATGCGATGCCCTATGGTTAGCCCAAGTTGCTTTATAACTCCAATTGAACTTTGCTTTTTATTAGATACATCAAACTACAAAAAATATTGGTTACAGACCAACAAACATCGCTGGAGGGCACCACCTTGAATCAAATGAATCCATGATATCCCATTTCCAACCCCATCAAGTTCAACAACACTTTGATTATTTCTTTCCTTGGATTTTTGTCTTGAGGTCTGCGGTGTTTCTCGAAGTGCCGTTGCTGGCTGTAACCCGCGACTTCACCCTTCACAAGTTCTTGCAACCACAGTAATCCACATGAGATGTGGCGTACTCTGCCAACACCTTGCCTGTGGCGTACGAATGCCATTGCGCTCTTTATGAATCGCATCAGAGTTCCAGCTGCTGCATTTCCTTCCAGTGATAAACTCAACGATGCACCTGTTGTCATGGCCACGTACTCGGTCGAAACCATGACGAAAGCGCAATTGACCACTTTGACTGCGGGTCAAAGTGTGTAGTAACACTCCATTCAGGTAAAAGTGGGCTACGCTCACACTTTTCCTTGTGCGGCGATTTCCTGCCCAATCTGAATCTGTAAAGATTTCCAGGAGATCTTCAGCCGTGCTCTGTATGTCCTTGTCCCGAGGATCAAGCACACTTCTTCCTGGCCGGGCATGTTTCGTTGGTGTGGCTAAGCCATCAGCCAGATGCAAAAAATCCCACCCCGGTCTACAGGGACCCCCAAATTTCATGGTTCAGAAAATAAGATGATCAGATGTGCCATCAAAGTTGCTTGAATTTGAGGTACCTTCCATTCATGAAACAACCCATGTGGAGGTTTCCTAAAATGGGGTATCCCCAAATCATGGAATAATAGACCATGTTTGTATTTAAACCTATGGTTTTGGGGATCCACCATTTTAAAACCCCCCAATATCACATTTCTGTACCCCCTGATGTACAATCCTAGTCAATCTTATTCAATTATGGTTGGCTGTATAAAATCCATTCTAATCCCTTTTTTCTCAGAAAATCCACCATTTTCGCTGGTTAAATAGCACTGTTCAATAGCACCCAGTAATCATTCAATGGAAAATCCATCATTTATAGATGTTTCTTCCAAGCTGTAAACCTCCATTTAGTTCAGGGAACTTCCATTGCTACCTTTGATGACACCTGAGAGATCTCCATAGGCATAGGAATCTATTGAATTGATAAGTTATCACTCTTTTAAGGGGAACTCCCCTAATTCACCAACCAAATTTATAGATAATTGTCCACATTTTCAGAGCTAGAAACCTCCATTCTGTTAAGGCAATTTTCATCCCTATGGATCCAAACACTGTCTGAGAAGTTACTTAACCCATCCTAATCCTCTACATCATACCCCAAGTACTTCCTAAGAAGGTACAACTGAATCCATAGGGCATTAATGGGGGGGTTCTGCATCGCCAGGGCACTTGCTGACCTCCACTGCCGCCTCCGCTGCCAACACTTCGGCCGTCGCTCCCGCTGCGTCTTCGGCCTGCAGGGATGAGCGCCGAAGCGAGAGGACGTCATCCGAAACCATGGCTTTTGACCACGAAGAATGGAAGTGAGGGGATTCCATCAATTCCAAACGCTCTCAAAGGGGGCTCCCCAGACCAAGGTGATACGGCGATGCGCACCTCCTGTTGCTCAGTTTCCCATTCATGTCCCCAAGTTGCCAGTTCCACATCGTCCACACCACCTGACCGCGGATGAGATGAGACTGGACTGGATTTCACGATAGGAAGATATATAGGAACTACCAAAAACAAACATGTTTCTTAGTTTCTTGGAATCGTCTACACTCGTCTACCCTGTGGGAATCGATGTCCACATAGAACATGGAAAATCACCATTTTTTGTTTGACAAGTAAGTGGGTGTTTACCATCCCGCAATCAAACGTGGCTGGCTCGGAAATCCCCTAAACATGAAAATAAATGCTTAAATGGGGAAATCAATGAATCATATACCCTCTGGTAATTTGTTACATAGCTATTGAACATGACCATAGAAATAGTGGTTTTATCAATTCACAATGGTGATTTTCTATAGCTACGTAAACGTTTACCAGAGGGTAAATGGAAGATTGTCCATTGACACGTTTGAAAAATATGAGTTCGTCAATGGGAAGGATGACATCCCATATACGAAATGGAAAATAAAACATGTTTGAAACCACCAGGTAGATATGATATATCCACCACGGGTCCTATACATAGAGTACTGTAATCATTTAAAACCAACACAAACCTCTCCTTTCGGCCCACTTTGCACTCATTACAGCATCATTCCGGGACAGTGATGCATAAATCAACGGCGCCTGGCAAAACGGAGCTGAAACCCTCCACTTTGGGCGTCAAGTGTGCGATGGCGTCAATGTCCTCCGTTTTCGGAAACACATTGCATCTGAAGAAGAAAACAACCTTCTGGTAAACTAAGATTTTTTTAGTATGTTTCAATGTGTTGTAAATCAACTATATTAGAAATGGCATGAAATGGCCATGTTCAATAGCTATGTTAAATTACCAGAGGGAAATCAGTGACAAACAAAACACTTGATCGAAATCGTTGACATTGCATGAAATCGTTGATCGAATAGTGTGGTTTTCGTTTTTTTGGGTCGATTTTGTCTTGACATGGATAAAACCCCTGGAGGTCAAACGGAAGAAAACCACAAAGTATCACTTAAAATCACCAAGTGAATGCGCAAATTCCGGCCAAGGACATGATACCCTCTGGTAAACAAACAGTTTGCTATTGAAAATGGCCATAGAAATAGTTGATTTACCCATTAATAGCATGGTGATTTTCCATAGTTATGTAAACGTTTACCAGAGGGTACTTACTGACCCTCGACGTGAGACCAAAGAGATGGATCTCACCATGTTTTGGCGATGGGTTGGGGTGTGGGGTAGGGTGCGACTAAAACGTTCATGGTCCTTGGAGTAAAATATATGAAGTAAAGTAGAGCACAGTGGCGTAGAATAGAATAGAGTCCAGTAGAGCAGAGTGGCGCAGATTAAATTAGAGTCTAGAATGGACTGAGAGTAGACCAGAGTAGATTGGAGTAGAGTAGACTAGAGCAGAGTAGACTAGAGTAGGAGAAAAGTAGGAGTAGAGTGCAGTAGAAAGTAGTGAATGCATATTATTCAATAATGTTGGTTATATTATATTGATATTTAATGGTTGGATTGCCATGTTGGATATATTATCATAGCGTTATAAATATAGATATTGTATATATGTATATGATTGTATATAATTATACAGTATCATAGTCTGGTTGGTGGTTTCATCCCCTCTGAAAAATATGATTTCGTCAGTTGGGATTATGAAATTCCCAACTGAATGGAAAGTCATAATCCAGCCATGTTCCAAACCACCAACCAGTAGTTATATGATCATTACTTATCTCCCAAACTTATAGAATTTTCCCTAGCCGTAGCCTACAGCCCTAAGCACTTAGATGGGCCATGGGATTAACGATTCCTGGTTAGTAACTGGGGATAATTATAACCCTCTATATCCCAATGAAATAATCCATTTACTAACTAGTTAACTAACTCCATGGCCCATCTAAGCAGACATTTCGTCCTTCTGCCGTTTCGTAGTTTCTTCATCCGTGGACGTCTCCGTCGACTCCGTCGGCCAGAGCCCCAGCTCTTCGATGATGGGCCACGCCGCCTCGCGATCGGAGCTTGGGGAATCTGCTGGTCAGATACCCGGCCTGGTAAACGCTGACACTTTGCGAACTGGAAAATGGCCCATGTAGAATTGATTTACCCAGCTATAAAATGGCGATTTTCCATAGTTATATTAGTTTACCAGATGAAATGGTGATAAAGTGGTGATAATACTGTCATTTATAGGGATATCATGAGAAAAATTAAGGGGATAGAATGGGATTTCATGGAAATTAATGAGACTTAATGTGAATCTATGGGGATAGTTTACCACTTAAAAACTATATACTGATATAATGGTCCTCCAATACGTAAAAATATATTTTGTGGGTTTAACCAACAACAATGGATATTTATAGGGATATCATGTGGATACAGTCAGGATATCATGGGCTATGATAGGATATAATAGGATTTACCCTCTGGTGATTTAACATAGCAAAATCACCATTATTTAACAGGTAAATCAACTATAGATGGCCCATCTATACCATAGCAAACTGTTAGTTTACCAAAGGGTATTGGTCATACATTCATACATCATGTATTGGGTGATATAATGAAGATTATATAGAATGAGTATAACCAGAAAAGGACATATATTGATGCATATTCATGGAAAGATAAGGACAACTTGGAGATTTAGCCAAGGCCAACAATCATTGATATTCACGGAGATGTACTGGGGAAAGACTGGGCAAAACAGGAGATTCGGCAAAAAAACTAAGGATTTTTCTGGAAAAAAAAAAACTCAGGAACGGGCTCCCAAATGATAGGTAAGTTGGAATTTGTGGGCGATTTATCGATTTTTTTAAGTTTACAAACAAATAAACATAACTTGGAGGTCCCTTCCTGTTGGTTACAATACGAGGATATAATGGGAACATTCCATCCATAACGAGATAAAAATCGGAAAAAAATCGCGAACCACCAGAGAGTTGCTGGAACAAACCCTTGTGAGAACAACCATGATCCTCAATGGTTCTATATTACTATTATGATCTATTATGATCCTCAATGGTTCTATAGATCATCTATATACTACTATTTCTATAGAACCATAGAACAAACCAGTATAGTTGCTGGATCCTCAATGGTTTTATATACTATTATGATCTATTATGGATGAACCAATATTTATGATCCACTATGGGGAAGTGGCTGGTATTTATTTGTGGATCAAACATAGTCAGTGGGTTGCGCAACCCCATTAATCATTCACTTGTGAAGCAATGAATACTTCTTCTGGAGTAACTCGGCAAATAAGAGGGAACACATGGATTGATGGTTGACGGAAAAAACATTCGGGTTTCCTCAACACACGATGGGGAGTTGCTTATTTACCTGAGAAAAAAAACAATGATTCAATCCACAACCGTGATTTACCGGATTTACTCAACAATCCTGGGGACTCTCAAACAACATAACCCAACGAAAAGTATATTCAAAATAGGCTATCTATGTGTCGTCTTATAATGTCAGCCTGGATTAATAAACCCCTAGGTTGTTTAATTGGGAGGGTACCATTTAAGTATGAGATTATGACTATTGGAGGAGTACCACCCTAATTAATAAACCATGGTTTATTAATCTGGGTTGTCATTATCTGTGATACTGGGCAAGCTTCCCTCCCTGGATGACAATTCGGTAGAGGCCTCGATGATCCAAAGGCGCCTTTGGGTCTCCTGGATTCCGCAAGACTTGGGTAGTGCTTGGTGGCTCAGCCCATAGTTCGTACAGAAAGTGGTTTATGACCCTACGTAGGACAAGCAGGGTTAGTCAAGTTATGACTGAGGTGAACTAAGCCACTTGCAATTCATAGGCTAAACCAGCAGGTTCCAAGTTGAACCTTCATTGGGAACTTCTGCAACAACTGGAGATTTAGCAGGCAAGAACCAGGATCTAAGACAAAGAACTGAGAATTTCCGACACCGCGCATGTTCAGGAGTTGGATATTGCATCGAACAAGTTCCAAAGCAAATGTTGTGATTTCGAATAGTAATAAAAATAATAACCGCCCTTTCTTATCATGCTTCCCATATTATAGTGCATTATATATATAATATTATATTATATATATATATTATTGTATATATATATTATATTAAATATTATATATATGTATAAACAGCTTGTATAAATAATCTATTGTATCATTCTATTGTATCATCATCCATGTCGTTACAAAAAGCCAACGTTTTTCTACGTTTTTCTCAATCTCCTCAGGAAACTTCTCCTGCACCGCCTCCTGACTCTCGGCTCAGCCACAATGGCACCCCAGGGGCCCCGGATTTTTTTCAAGGCACCCCATGGATGGTGACATGAAATTTGCAATAGATATACCCAAATGCTGTTTTTATCATGGTTTAATGGTGGAAAACCATAGGAAAATGGTGGTAAAAAATGGTGGTTTAATGGGGTTCAACCAACAAAATGGTGATTTTAATGGGATATACCCTCTGGTAAACGTTTACAGTTTTCTATTGAAAATGGCCATAGAAATAATTGATTTATCCATTAAAAATGGTGATTTTCCATAGTTATGTAAACGTTTACCAGAGGTTATTTACCTACATTTGAGTGATTTATGAGGTATATAAATGTTGGTAAATATTCCAGCACCATGGAGCATATGGGAGAATATGGTGATAATTCCAGGGATAGTAATAATGTGGTGATATATATATATATATATTGCAAATAATAGTGATAATAATAGTGGTTTAATATCATATGGTTTATATCTATGTTTATAATAATGATGGTAAGATCATTTATAGTGATAGATACAATATGATGTTAAAAGAATCGGTGACATGATTAGTCATCTAATGGTCTAATGGTCCCATTATTTGTGACAATCTATCTATCTATATATATATAATATTATATTATGGTGTCACAAATAGATGAGTCATAAATACGAAAATTATCGTACTAGTCACTAATCATTACCATGATTATCTAGTGGCTGTCAATCCCCTACTGGACATTACTAGGCAGGCTGATTTCTACAGGCTGGTGGGTATTAGGGGGATGGGATACGGAACAACATAGTATGTTTCACACCTATAAAGTCGTGATGGTATTTGGATGTAATTGGTGCTTAATGATGGTTTAATGGTGAACATATGTTTTCAAGAAAGAATATGGGAATTCATTTGCGTGGAGTTGCTTTAGGAACCCCTAAATAACAAGGACATGTTCATATATAGTCCATGTAGATTCCCCAAGTAGTGGATTTCCATTGGGAAAATGCATCCGTCTTCAGCAAATCAAGGTAAAAAAATAGGGGACTTCGATGTTTCCTTGCAATTCTAAGGATGAACTGAGTTGATCTCCATTTCTCAGCCACCTGCAGTTCGTCTTCCATGTGTCCCCCATTCATGTCGAGTTTTTGTCCATAACAAACAGGATTAAATGTGCATGCTCGCCATCTATTTCATATGTTTGTTACCCAAGGGTATTTGACACTTGACTCTTCACCGCACCACACGTTGGGTTGGAAAAAAACTCTGAACGGATACGTTGCTAGGGCTCATTGCTGGTCATCATATATGCCAAAACGTCCTCTATACTTAGCCACGTGAATGTTTGCTTTACAACGGTACATCTTGGTAAATCTTCCCTACGTTGACCCCAAACTTATCCCATTCTTTTTGCCAATTTTGGTCAAATCCCAAGTGTTCCTGGCTTTAAAGACCAGGTGTCCATCCTGTTTCCCGGGTGAAACCCTCAAAATCCACGATTTATTTTAGGTTAACCAGTTTCGATCTCAACAACTAATTCTTCCACCCCCCCAGGTTGGATATGCATCAAGATTTCAATGCCAAAGGTATGAAACACCAGTTAACCCCCTCAAAAAAACAAATCCATCCATCATTATCATTTTTCCCTAAGAAAGCACCATCATGTGGCTAGGTTTAAAGCCATCAATGGTCCAGAAACATGGCGGCACCTTCTGAACTTCGTCCATGGCGGCTAAGGCATCCACCAGTGGCGTCTGGAGATGGTGTGGGTGTCGTGGGACCATGGGTTTTTCTTTGTGACATATACACATAATATATAGATTCTAATAGATAAAATCAATCAATCAGAATGTTGAATATCTATTCCAATTGCTATATGATATATATATATATATAGATACATATTCCACACATTTTGACTTGATGACATTCCATATCTATGTATACATATATATATATATATGTGTCATTGTATATCAATAACCCGAAATAAAGCCATTTGGGGGCGTTACCCCTTACATTCACCATGTTTCCAGGGAGAACAGTGAGGTCTTGACGAAATTTACCCAAATGGTTAAATCATTATCTATGGTATTTATACTGTATACCTATGACATATGACATATATCCCATGTTTCTGGGTCAATCATTCAAGTCGATTTTACCCATCGATATCTCATTCAATCAGAATGTTAAATGGTTACATCACTTAAATCCTTAAGTAGATCATCGTTTTTGATGGTTCAATCCCAATTTTTGGAGCAACGTGGGTAACCCAAAAAACTTACCAGTTGGGAATGGCGTTTACCACCCATAAAAATGGTGATGACTTGGGGATGGTTTATGGCATTGGGTTTACCACATTGTATAGGATATTCCCCTAGGAAAATGATGATTTTACCATAGGAACATGGCGATTGATTGAATGGGTTTAGATTATATCAACCCTCTGTTTGTTGGCAATTAGTAGCCTCTGCTAAATTAAATTGACAGTTCCACCCGTGGAAACTAATTCCAAACCCCTATTTGGCAGGGCCTATGTTCATTTACTGGAGGGTATTTTTTTGTATAGGATAGCAAGTTTGATATGTTTTCAAGTTGTTGTTCATGCAAACTTTGTAATATGTTAATATGTTCAATAACATGATCATGGTGTGTATACGCATATCATATATATATGTATGTATACTGATTATTCATGAATATTGCTATGTTAGGAATGAACGACATTGATAATCAGTTTTCTACATTGGGTGCCATCAACACCTTTGGTGCGGAATCTACAAACTATGCCATGCAAAAAATGTCATGATACCAATTTCATGCATAAGTCCTTGTATTCCCCAATGCACGGGCAATGATTGTTTTGTTTATATAGGGGGATCAGTGTGGCCAATCTTTGCTTGTTAAAATGGTTGTACCGAAATGTACTGTACTTCATATTGCTTGTTTTAGAGCGCTGGATAATCTAAATCTAAGTGATGTGAAATGTGTGTCAACAAAATAGTGGATACCCCACGTTTTTTGGGGGTTGCCTATTGACAAACCCGAATGGGCTACGGCAATGTCTAACCAGTTGTAGAGTTGTCTAACCAGTGAAAAGGAGTAAACATGTGAGAAATCATTCCGTGCTATACACACTGTATACTGTATATGTATGTATATGATCTGTATATGTTCAATCTGAAGATGACTGTATCAAAAAAGGGACGAACCTTAGCCACCGGATGCTTTAGAGAAGTATAGTGAAGGTCCCAAGCTTCAAAATGGTGCAAATGGCAAATGCCATCTGATAAGAAATCATGTGGGAGTTGGAATTTTACTGGAATTTTGATTTTTAAGCGTAATTACCACACTTTTAAAAGAGAACATCTGGTTGGTGGTTTTAACCATCTGGAAAAATATTAGTCAATGGGAAGGATTATCTCATATAATATGGAAAACAAATGTTCCAAACCACCAACCAGATATAGTCTGTGAGATTGAGAATACCGAGCACAACAGATTAGATTTTTCCACTAGCCCATGAAAATCATGCAAGTTGGCTGGGGTGTTTTTGCCATTTTTCAGAACCAACACCACTAGAGGAATAACCAAAATTGACTTTGACAAGTTGGCTGCCCAACTTGTTTTTCAGAACTTGGGGAAAAAACCATTCAAATCCAGCTCAGAAACTTTTTGCCCTACGCTACATGAGTCTTAGTACCAATGTCAGACCCAAAAAAAACGATTTTGCTCATCATTGCTGATTACACAAATTTACACAATCATGTTGAACGTCCACAAAAAAAAAATGTGCCCATCACACGGCTAATCTCGGATTTAGCTTGTGGATCTCTTCCACTAACCATTTGACTTTTCATTCAAAAAGGTATCTTCCTTTTTTCACCCCTCAAGTCACCTATGTTTTTTTAGTTAAGAAATAATAAAGAATCAGCCATTCTTGTATGATAAAATTCCTATTGTTGATTGTTTAATAATACTCCTGGACACATCAGTAACCAAGATTAATTCCATAGTTGCAAAATTGACTCCTCTGTTTTACTGACGGTTTGACCCCTGGTTGTTGCTGGCTGAATTCCTTATTCAAATGGTTGATACTTGGTGGTAAAATACCCGTTCTGAAGGTTTCCATAAACGGGGTAGCCCCAAATCAGGCATTTCAATTGTCTTTTTTCATCATAAACCGTCAACAAATCGTTACAAGGTGGTACCCCCGAGTTAAGTTTGTTGGTTTATAATCCCCATTAACTATAGATATAACCCATAAACCCTAGAAATAGACCATTGGAATTCTGTTGGTCCAGCATGATTTCACCAACATGAGCACAAGTTGTGTACACAAATTTTCAGTCACATCCATCCTACGTTGGTGCCTTGGTCGGCGTCTCACTGGAGACACTGCAGGGGCCTTCTGCCGCTAAGCGATTCCTTGTTTTTGGCACAAGCTCGATAGATGACAGCAATCTTCATTTTGGTGCTATTTCACCATTGAAATCTCACAAAGGATCATACTATATCATACTATATCCCTATGAAATGCCTATGAAATTCCCATGTTGTCCCCATTTGGATACTCAAAATGCCCACATCCCCAGCATGGTCAGTGACCCTGACAGCCCATGGCCGCCTCTTTGTCCAAGGCCGATGCATTCGCCACCACACCAATGGCCACCGCCAGGGTTTCCTGCGGTTTAGGGCCCCGACAACGGGAACTTGGCTGAAACCAGGCACTGAAACAAAGGTGACCCAATCCATTGATAAGAATGGTTTATAGCTGGTTGGTGGTTTTTCGCCCTACCCCTCTGAAAAATGATGGAGTGAAAGTCAGTTGGGGTGATGAAATTCCCAAATATGATGGGAAAGTCATAATCCAGCCATGTTCCAAACCACCAACCAGATATGTATTTTATAGTGCAAAAATCCCATGATTGTTGTCGTGTTTCACAGGTATCAATACGTTTTTGCAATGATTTCACTGGAAATCCATGGTTTCCTGTGGATTTCATGAGGAAAACCATGAGGAAAACCCCCAACATCTTGGAAAACCATGGTGTTTCCTCATGATGTTTTGAAAATGGACAAGAAACCCCCAGCGTCTGAGGAAAACCATGCTTTCCTATGGATTTCCCCTTTCAACCAATGCAATGAGTCTAGTTGGGGGATCGAAATCTATCAAATCTTGGGGGTCCATGACTTTGAAAAGGGATTGATGTGGGATTTTTGAGCATCACAAGCTATAAGTTGGTTTAGATTCGCCCCAGTAACTATAGTTATTTGCGTACCATAAACCATAGTGAAATTGGAGCTATAAACCAACTGAACGCTATCCAATGGGGGCCTCACATTGTAGGATTGAACCATCAAGACATTTTTATTTGAGCATCAAAAACGATTCAACGACCAAAACTGGTTGGTGGTATACCTACCCCTCTGAAAAATATGAGTTCGTCAGATTGGATCATCATCCCAAGTATTGGGGAAAATAAAACATGTTCTAAACCAACCAGAAAATATGGCTTTAACATTTGAAAATACGGAATAAAAGTGGTTTCTCAAAGGGTGTCCCGTTCCAAGATCTAGATCTATAACCTTTGCCCCCCCCAACCAGGTCACCGAAAGTATCCCCACTAAGCCCATCGCCGAAAGTATTCGATACCCCTTATGGAGGCCGAGGTTGTGACAATGGTCCTCAAAGTTTCTACCCAAGCACTGAGATTCATTGGTTATATGAGTTCCATATCATGGTTCTGACTACCCTCTGGTTATTTAGCATAGCCATGGTATAGATGGATGGCCCATTTATAGATGGTTTACCTATTAGAAATGGTGATTTTCCATGGCAAACTGTTAAATAACAAGATGGTATATCCCCATGATTTTCCGGTTTCGTTCGCCTCCACTGAGTGAGATGATCCTCCAACTCTGGATGATCAAGGCCATTCTGCCCGATCTTGATTCCCTGTATCCACATTCATGGGAATATGATGAGAAAACTGAGATAAGAACAATGAACATATTAATTAATGGTGCCATTTTATATTCCCTATGGATCCAGCCGTAACTGCTCAGGAAGTATGACTGGGGTATGATGACTAGGGATGACTAGGGGGTGTCTTGTACCTTCTCAGACAGTGTTTGGATCCATAGGGATTAGGACATCATATTCTCATTCAACTAGGCACACAATGAGGATATCATCAAACCATTCCAGCTCCGTTGAATCACACTTTTGTGGGTTGATACCCCCAAGTTTGCATTTGTTATTGGTTAAACAACGCCATTTAAATCCATGACATGGCGAAATCCCTTGCTTTGGTAGAACATGCCCAAGTGATGATTCAAAAAACCACCCAGTGGGATCCATATTTCAGCAGTCCATTCATATATAAACCACGTTTCTATGTACCATATTGGGTATTAAAACACCACGGTTTCTGAGTTAAATCATCATGTTTCTTGATTAAATCACCATGTAACGCCCAAAAACTTGGCGCCTTCATCACCATGAAAATCATTAAATCAGTTACCCAACCTGGTTATGACTAACAGTTCGCCATGGTATAGATGGCCCATAGGAATAGATGGTTTACCTGGGTTTACCGAACTTAAAAATGGTGGATCTTGCCATGGCAAACTGTGAATGTCATAACCAGAGGGTATATCCCCATGATTTATAGATTTATCCACCATAAACCTTAGTTATTGGAGTTATTTGCACCAACTTAGCGTTAACGAACTGGGGCACCATCTTGCTAACTGAGATGGTTTACCTGGGTTTACCTATTACAAATGGTGATTTTCCATGGCAAACTGTTAAATAACCAGAGGGTAAATCTAATCCCAACGTTCTTCCCATGTTTCTTGCTTCAACAGCGAACACCCCGATGACCGCTCCGGCGCCGCGTTGCTGCGCAGCAGCCGCAGCGTAATCTCCGTGGCCAAGGGCGCGGCCAAAGCACTGAGCTCGGGCGCCTCGGCCACGGGATTTGGGGAGTGAACCCATCAGATGTCAATGATTATATGGTGATCTGGTTGAGTCTGGTTGGTGGTTCAACCCCTCTGAAAAATATAAAATGGTTTTAACCAATGGTTTAATATGGTTGGTGGTTTTAACCATCTTGAAAAATATTAGTCAATGGGAAGGATTATCCCATCAGATGGTGATTATATGGTGATCTGGTTGGTGGTTGAGCCCTACCCCTCTGAAGAATATGAGTTTGTCAGTTGGGATGATGAAATTCCCAATGGAATGGAAAAATAAAAGCCATGTTCCAAACCACCAACCACTTATATGGTGATTATATGGTGATTATATGGTGATTATATGGTGATTATATGGTGATACATAGGTGTTTTAATGGATGAAACAAATTATGATAGATGGGGGATTCCTAAAATAGGGGTACCCCAATAGCTGGATGCTTCATTTCATGGAAAATCCTAACAATAACTGGGTGATTTGGAGGTACCCCTATTTCAGGTAACAGAAAACACAGCCCTACGAAGTAGGGAAAAACCACTACACCACAGCGTGGTGTCCACCACAGCACAGCGTGCTGTTTTTCACTTGAGGCTCAAAGTGCGCACTGCGGTGCGAGGTACCTGACAGGTGAAAACAACAGAAGAAATATTCAAGACGGAATCACAGCCCTCTAAAATTCTGCACCTTGATTTTCAAGGTGAATATTGGCTGGAATTGCTCAGTGTCGTGATTTCATTCGAAGATCACTTTGCTTTTCACGAGCAATTACGTCTTTCTCTTCTTCTATGCGCAGATGGTGTGTTCTTAACAAGGTCATGAGTGGTTGGATATGAGCTTTCTCCAACAGCTTTGTCAGTCCATCTGCTGCATTCAAGTTGTGAGGGACCCAACGCAAACGGCCTGACAACGCCGAAAGCGATTCCTGAATCACAGCAATCTCAAGGGCTGTTCTCTCGTCTTCGCCTTGAGCTTGCTCGGAACTGGCTCCGTCGAAAACTGACTTGGCATCTACAATCGCTAATGCGCTGGGGTCATTGTATTGGGCATCCTCACTAGCAATTACAGTTGGGGGTCCCCTTAAGCCCAGTTGAACTTCGGAAGAACCAACAGCAGTTTTAGGGTCAAACCTAGAAAACCTCATGCTAGAGAGGACTGCCGACTGTTTCTCTAAAGCTCCTAGAGCTGTGGAAAGGGAAATGGCTTCACACAGTGTGGTGCTACCTGCCTTTCTTCGGAGTCTTCTAGACCTCCAAGAAATTAAAGAAAAGGGAGCTACTCGACCAGCATTCAACTCAGAAGTCGTCAGGCCTTGCAACCAACCATGCTGCGGCTTCGTCTTACCTGAAGGGTCAAACGAGCTGTCTGCAATGACCAAATGACGTAGTTGCTCTTCAGGAATAGCATGAATCTTGATCGTCACGTGGTTTTGCTTGAGGTGGTTGATGGCATCATTGACTTGATACAAATGCTGGACTGTCGGCTCAGGAAACACTCCACTCAGAATGCTTGCGGTGGCAGCAGCATCAGGTCTTCCTTCACGGGCTGTCCAGTTGATGGCTGCTACGACTGCTCGAAGTGCCTGTGTTTCCTCAGGGTTTAACTTAACATGTTCGGCGTCCTTCTTCAGCACCTTCCTGTGAAGTGTGAGAGGCTTGAGGCGGTTGTCGACATAGTCCTGCATGTGGTAGGAGAAGCTGAAATCGTCCCATTGCTGGATGCGTCGTCCTGCGTATCCTGCACCTTTTCCATCAGGTTGATTGAGCTCCTCGATCTTGCCAAATCTGACCTTCTCGGCAAGAACCTTCATCTTGGACACGTGGTCGTCATCTCCGGCCTCTAGGATGTCGTCCACTTCAATGATCATCAGACCTTTGGTCTTGATTTTGGTGGGATCCTCTCCTTCTCGAGCTTCTGGACCATCAAGGCTCAAGACACATCTGTCGTAAGGATTGATGCGGTATCGAAGATTCGTGACGCAGTATTCCAAGAAACTTCGACGCCACCAAGCTGGTCCAGAGACGAGTCCATACACTTCCGTTTCAAGCTGTATCAGCTGACGGCTGTCGAACCCAGGGAACGTCATGTCCTTCGGCATGAAGCAACATAGTTTGTTCTTCCGAGTTGTTGGTTTTGATTGAAGGAATGCCGTTTTTGCGTCCCGAGCTCGAGCTTTCCACTTCCTCGAGGCACACACTTGCAAGAACAGGTACATGGATGACGTCAATGGTGTAGGTGCGGCACGCTCTATTTCATGAATCATTGGGTCCTGCCATCCAACAACGCACCATCTGCTCTTTGCACTGAGTCCTGGATGTTTGTGAGGTCGGAAGCCTGGAGTGTGGTAGTCTGAAGGAAGAACGCCAAACTTCTCCGTAGGTTTCCATCTGTCCACAAACTTGGACTCTAAAACGTGCTCCGGTCGCTCTTTGAGAAACTTCAAACTGTCGTCCACGCTCAGGATTTTGATGGCTCCTGAGTCGATCAATGATTTGATCTCCTTGTCCCGAGCTGCACGGAAGGCTGGGGCTTGTTCTTCAGGAAGTCGTTTGAAAACCACTTGACCTGGGCTTTCTTTGGCCTTGCTGATGAACATGTGTTTGAAGTCCTGGTCGAAGAGGCCGTAGGCATCTTTCAGCACAAAGGTTTCTTCGTTGATAGCCTGTGGAATGTGCAGATCCTGGGACTTCTGGTACTTCCAGAAAACTTGATTGATCTCCTTCTCCTCGGACAAGACGTTGTAGTATTGATTGCACATCCCTGAAGTTGGCCACGGTGCTAAACCAGGTTGAGGAAAGGATATGGCATTGATGACCGACTGGTTCTCTGTCCAGGCATAGGTCCAAAAGATGCAGATCCTCCGATTCCCTCATCGACTCGGACAGTCCTTCTGGGTGTGGTCATACTTCGGGGTGTCGGAGAAGTAGTCGTTGGTACTGGCGGTTCATCATGTTCCATAGTCTCAACGTCCTGAACGGTTGGTGCTCTAGTTGACTCCTCAGCAGTAGAAGGTGGTACTGGGACCGGCGTTTCCGGTTCCATCAAATCATCTTCGTCAAAGGTCTGCTCGAGATGAGGTGTTTCCGGATCTTCCGGGACAACTTCCATAGGAACATCCGGATCTGGTACAAGGGGTGGTTGAACAACAGGTAGTTCTGGTTCAGGTCGGAGTTCTTGAGGTAGTTCATCTGGAGGTCCTTCCGCCTGAACATCTCGATAGTTTCGAAGTTGACCAGTCTCCACATCTTCTAGAAGTGCTGAAGACAATTCTTGTACCAGCTCAACTCCCAAAAACTCCTCTGAGGTAGCTGCTCGGACTTGTTCACGAGAAGCTTTGACCAAGTATCCGCGAAGGCTGATCCACAAGGATCGCTCATTACTGTTGATGGCCACCACGATGCCTGGTCCGGTCCATCCCTTGTAGACGGCAGTGTGGCGCCATACAAACACGGTGTCGCCAACCTTGAGCTCTTTCATGTCAGCTGTCCTGGTAGTGGTCCTCAGGCTACGCTTGATAGCTTCTGTGTCCTGGGACCTCATCCAAGCTGCTGCAGCCGCATCACGAATCTCCCACACTCGTCGAACTTCATCTCCTGCTCCTTCACGAAGTAGGTCTCGGTCGAGAGCATCGTCTGAAAGAAGCGATGCAGGCAAACGAGGATTAACACCAAAAGTCCGCTGATATGGAGAGTAGCCAGCACGGTTGTAGTAGCGGTTGTGAGCTGCGCAGGTCTCTGCCAACACCAAAGGAAATTCTTCCTCAGTTGCAGTTGTCTCATGAATGATCGTTTCAAGTCTGGTCTTGAAAGATCCACCTGCCCTCTCAGTGCGAGCATTCTGCCAAGGACTCCGCACATCGGTATAGTGCACAGAAATTCCGTGCTCACCTAATCGGCCACCAAACTCCTCGGAGACAAATTCCTTTCCTTGATCCGCAATGACCAGGGATGGTGGACCATAGTGAGCAACCCATTGCGCCATAAACGCTGTACATACCGTTTGTGCTCTCTTGTCCTCGACTTCAACCACAATTTGTAGGTCCGTGCCCCAGTCGAGCATGTTCAGTAGAACGTGGTCTTCGTAGAACATCAAGTCCACACCCACTACTCGGTTGAAGGGCAACGATTGGGTCAAATGACCTGGCCTCTGACTTTTGGGCTTCTGCTTTCTTTCACAAATTGGACACTGGAAACGTGACCGCACCCATTCCAAGGCTTCCTTCCGGCAGTTAGCATGTCGAAGAGCTCTAAGAAAGGTTTGGCGATCTGGGTGTCCAAGATTTCGGTGTAGTCGATATAGTTCTCGTCTCAGCTCAGGATGCAATGACACTTCCCCGACATCCGGTTCGTGAGCGGGTCCGGGACGTCGAAGTTCTTGTCCTGCTCGTTCAACTTCCGCATCCAACTGATCTTCCAACGCATCCTCGCCCTTGACTTCGGCAATTGAAGGCAAAGGAGATGGTCTTCTCCTCGGCTGATCAACTGAAGTTGGTGGCAAAGGAGACGTTGACATTCTCGGTCTGGACGCTGTAGAGGAAGAAGTCGAAGTAGACGCCGCTGCACCACGAGTTGTAGAGCGAGAAGACGATGAAGCCGTCGAAGTCGTCGAAGTCGAAGATCCATCACCAGCACGTCCGCCGCCCTCTAAAATTCTGTGCGTTGGAAATGCGCTGATGATTTCGTACCACTCGTCCTGAAATTTGGACTCTTCCACCACATAACTGTGCAAAGGATGAGCACCTGAGGCAGCAATCCACGTAGCTGTAGAGCTCATTGATGCACTGGCTGGACAAACGAAGGGCTCGACCAGCTCAAACTCCGTAGTACCTGTCCAGGGACATGTCCATGTGGGGTGTGAGCGGTCAGAACGCCAGTTGTCGTGCAACACTTGAGTGTGGTTGTTGTCTGACTTGTTGGTGGAGACTCTACGATCTCCAAGTTGAGACTCACTGCATGGCTTAGTGGTGACATTCTGTGGGTTGAAGAGTGCCCATCGTGGTTGAACATGATGTCGTGTGAGGTGGGTGGATGACATAGTCCAATAATCTTCAGGTGGTGTACCTTCTGGTCTACATTGAACATGACGCTTCAAAGCCCTAAGGATGCAATCAACAAACTGTTGAGTGTATACTGCAGCTGCGGCAGCACGTCCTCCCACCAGTGGTTGGTGCTGTGAGTGTTTGCCGTTGCATCTACGACCTAAGGCATTGGCGAGAGATTCAATGTTGGTTAACAGGAGTGTAGGTTTCAAGGCCGGCACTCCTTCCTTGGTAACCAAACCGAAGGCACACATGTCCACCCTTACCTCGTAAACATTCTGTTCCTGTTTGAGTTCAGCTAACTCGGTGGTGTGCCATGAGCTTGCTGTGTAAGGGTGTTCAAACAGAAAACCTCTTCCTGCACTCATCTGAATGCGAGCAATGTGCACTGAAAAACGCACATGAACTTTTGCTTGCTCCAGCTCAGCAGCTACGACCTGCGGATCGTTTGAAGGTTGACAACCTCCTCATGGCACTAAACGCTGTACATGGCGGGCTCAAAATTACAAGTGCTGGACGGAGTTCTCGAATCAGCTTGAGAGCTTTGGCTTGATGGTCTGGTCGGCTCAAATCCCAACCGGTGGAGAGGTCTAAAGAGCCACCTGGTTTCAAGCCATGTCGTGAAGCACGAGCTGACACCCTCGGCTGAGAGTAAATCTCCATCACATCTACTTCGCCATGTTCAGGTATACCATCCTTGAACTTGAAGTTGTCCTGGTTGCATCGGCTCTTCTGTTTGTTCTGGTTGAAGCCCTTGCCAAAACTGGCTGCTAAAGCTCTCTTGACCTTCCTGGGAATGGTCTTGATGTCATAGGCTTCAAGATCTATTGCCGACTGTCTAACAAGGTCAACTTCATCCACCACGAATTGACCGTGAGCAAAATGCCCATCTGGTGAAACTAGTGGTCCGTCAGGTGAACCACTCGAAAAAGGTTGAGTGCCGAGCCAAGTGAAGTCTGGTACTGGTTGTTGATGCATAGTTCCTGAATTCGCCATGATGCCGGCTGTACATAGCACCATGAAAACTTTGGCCACAATGCCCTTTGAAGAAAAGGCATTCTTCACCTTTCGTCCGGTGGAGCCAAGCTGCTCCACACTGAGCATAGCGTTTCTCAAAGGGAATTGCCCGGCAGCATGGTTGCTGCCACCATCACTTCGTCCTCCCAAGAGCCGTCGGATAGTGTATGCTCCTGAGGCATCTGCGGGATCTCCTCGGTGGTCTTCTTCTTGAGTCGTTGGTCTGGTCGAAGGCCGCTGGTTGACTTCCTCGTCACGGATGGGCTTCGACTGGTTCTCGTTGGTGGTGTCTTCGAAGCTTCGGTCGTTGGTGTAGTCCCGACTTTCTCCGCAACCTTGGTGTCCACGGGCTTCATCGCAACCTTCCCGGTGAAGTCGTTCTCCAGCTGGATGTTCCCCTGCTGTGGCCGGGACCGAGGTGCTGGTAAGAACTGTGGATAGCTCTTGCCGGTCCTGGCTTCCTTCAATGATTGAGCTTGAGGAAGTTCCGGAGCGATCACCGTCGTTGATGAGGAAGCGGGTGAGCTTTCGGTCCTTTCCCAACGTCCTCCGCATTGAAGACATACCCACCATTTCGAGTGAGGATTGGCTCGACAACGAAGGTACTCGGCTGGATGGTTGCAGCTCTTGACCTCGAAGTTCCAATGTTTCTGAGCTTCTGATCGACTCAGTGGCTTGCCGATCCCTTGGTTGATCCAACTGCCCTTGGACTTGTTCTGGCTCATCTTCTCCTTGACGTGGGACTTGTACTTTTGAAACTCTTGCTCTTCCATAGTCCGATCGTTCTCGGCCGCACGCTTCCCGATGTAGTCGATGACCATCTGGTTGCGAGCGGTGAAGATCATCTGGAGCAGGGTCAAGGTGAGTCGCTTCCAAACCGACATCAGCTTCTGCGGCTCGGTCTTCTTCTTCTGGCGGGGCTGGTCGTCCCCGGACGAGATTTCCACCATCTGTTCCACCTTGCCCTGGAGGCTTGCCATAGCTACCAAGTCCAAGAAATCGGGAGGCAAAAACCACAGATCTTTTGAGCATATCACGGCTCCATGCCAAACGGTTCGATTTCTGAGCCGCGTCTGAATTGCGTCTTGCACATGCCATTCTGGATGAAATAGGTTGCTGATGGCGTGTGAGGTCGAGTTCATCTCCCCATGTTGTGCATTCAATGTCTACGGTTTCATCATCATCATCTTCATCCATTCTAAACCACTCTGCTGATGTGAGTGAACCGGATTGGTTCATTGACACTGAGGCTGAGGGTCCCGACTGCATAGCTGAAGAGCGCATCATTGTCCTGCATTCGGGCGTGTTGGGTTCATGAATTTGGTTGTTCTGCACGTTTTCGTTGCCATGACATCCACATCCACTCCCCCAAAAGTTGAAAACGCCCGGAGTGCGGACCATGTATGCTGGAGCAGGCGGAAGATCAGGTCTGTTCAGGGGAAGAGGTGTTCCTTCCAGCCAAAGTGAGACCAACTGGTCGAAGTGAAACGCTAAATCCTTGTCACCTTCAGCTGCTCCCGGCATCATTCCGGTAGGATTGAAAGGTTTTGAAGTGCGCTGCACTCCCACGAGCTTCTCTACAAAAATCGTGTGCCCAGTCCATGAGTTCTGAGGGACTGGGCTGGGATAATCTTCGGTCCAATTGTCGATGACATTGTCATGGGATCCATCGCCGAAGAGTAAGCAAGTGATTCTGACCTTGTGCAACAAGTAGCCCAAGGAATCTTGATTGGGATCGATCAAGGCGCTAGGCACAATCATGCGATCATGCTTTCCAGGAAGAACTGCATAGAGGTGGTAAAAGCCATTGGCCTGCCTAATCCAAACTCTCATGCCTTCCACATCCGCTGCAGGAAGAGCTTGTCCAGGCTGCCGATAGTGGGGCTCATAGCTCCTGGCACGAAGGATGTAAGGCCCAGTGTCTCGGACCTGACCTTCGCTCTGAGACACGGTTGCCAGCACCAAGGGCTCCGTGTCGATGCTGAATGGATCCACACCATCTCGTTGACGATGAACAGCAGGTAGATTCCAAGCACCACTGAAGGCCAGGATGTCCACCGCGCGATGGCCAGATGGCAATCGTCTCATGGCTGCAGTGTGGTTCCATCGGGTCTTCAGAACATCATTCTGAAAGTTGAGCTCGGCACCAATTCCTTCCAGGTAGCTGATTGGTAGCAATGGAGGTGTTTTGAACTCTTCGTGGTCCTTGAGGATGGTGAAGCGGATGACTCCATGAAGTCCTGCAATGGCACATGGAACGTCCACGCTGCCCATCACCGTGGCCTCTCCACCAACTCCCATGCAAGGAATCTGTTTGGCTTGAACTCGTACAGGGCGTAGGCCATTCTGCAAGAGCTCCTCCGTGAGTTGTTCCAAATAGCTTGAACCAATGACTGCGTCCTCGGCTCCTGTGTCGATGATGGCCTCGAAGTTCTGCAAGTTGATGGAAGACCAAATCTTCCTCGAAGTGACCATGGTGGTGGTGACCTCAGTGCGGCCACCGCCACGACTGGAGACAAAGGTCTTGGCATCTCCCTTCTTGGCCAACGGGCAATCAGCTGCGTAGTGACCCAACTCCTGGCAGTTGAAACAGCGTACCCTTGCGGCCAGTTCAGATGCTGTGCCCTTCGTGTAATTTCCACGGCGGCCTCCACTGCGATCACTTCGTCCACGACCACGACCTTGAGGTTGGCTCCTCTTTGAAGCTTGAGGCCTTGACTTGCCCTTTCCACCAGGTGCATTCTTGCGATGGCGGACAAAACCACGTTCTTTCCTCCTTTCTCGCAAGTCCCTGCGCACATCATTGTACGCCTGAACATAGATGGCTTCATGCTCTTGGAACTCCTTCTTGTCTTCAAAAACATAGTATCCATCCTCAACTGACTCATCTTCGCTATAGTCATCGTCCTCTTCAAACTCCTCGTCATAGTTCTCGGAGTTCTCAGGGTTCTCGTCCGTCTGGAAGAGCACCTTCACTCCACTGGTTGAGGAACCAAAGGACGATTTGGCCAGCACTTCGCTTCGATCCAAAGTCCGAAGCATGGCGGCCACTTGGTCGAAGGTCAGCAGGGCATGCGACTTCAAGGACAGAAGTTCTCGTTGGAGGTCAGTCAGGTATGCTTGTTTGAGCAAAACTCTTCCGCAAACCAAATCCGAAACTGTTTCGCCCAGCTGCTGTTGCATGTCTTGACGCTGAATTTCTTTTGAGGCTACAAAGGAACTGAAAGTTTCACCCTTTTGCCTATCTCCTGAGTAGAAAAACGTGTCAATAGCTGCTGGGCCGGCTAGCTCTAAGTAGGGTTTGTACTTCTGCATGAGAGCTCCCAAAATCAGAGAATAGCCGTTTTCAGTCAAAATCAGCTCAGTTGGAATGGTATCTGCGATTCTTCTTGGTGCACTGCCTTCTGAAAAACTTTGGTAAAGTTTGAGACCCCACCTGTTCACAGGTGTTGAGGTCTCCTGTTCCCAAAAACCTAATAGTTTCAACCATGATCTCAAAGTGGCAGGTTGGCCATTCCAAATGGGAATGGACTTCCGATCCCCACTCATGGCATTGATCAGCTGCCGCATGACCTCATTCTGATCTGGTGGCGGTCCTCGAGATGCTGAAGGTGAAGGCTTCCCCAGCATGTCGAAAGCTGATCGTACCTGTTGCGGTTGCGTTTGAGGAACTTGGGAACCTAAGGCTTGTGCAAATCTTGCTGCATTCATACCCATATGCACAGACTCTGGTGGTGTGTAAGCTTGTTCACTTGGAGGTCTTCCATGTCCATGAGCATTGGGAAAAGGTCCATGGGGAAACACTTCCAAAACCGTGTGATACTCCCAAAGGTCCATGGGGGACTCCATGCAAATTAAGAACATGCTCACCAGATCGCGCTTGTTGACCATAAGCGTTACCAAAAAGTTCATGAGGTACACTTCTATTGGAACATTGACCACATTGTGCAGTACCCAGGTTACCAACGTTGCCACTGATAGTCGAACCAACGTTGGGGCTACCCATGTAGTACTGTTGGGGTCCATTGGAACATGCAGCACCTCCAAACATGTTACTTCCCACTGGAGATCCACAAAACGATGGCGTCCCAAGCGGCACTTGTCCTTGGTAACCTGAAAGTCCAGTAGGCTGCACCGGTTCGCATTGGCGAGGTGGTGAATTCTGGGCTTCAACATCGTGAAACTGACGGGTTACTTCCATTATCCTTTGTATTGGGCTCCATTGATTTTCAGTGGTCCCTGAACCATTTGGAGGGTTCCTAGCTCTGTAAACTGCCCAAGGATCGTCTTGGGGAAACTGAAACGGCGGTTGGTTAGGTTGCTGCTGCGCTCCACTTCCAGCCATAGGCACTTGCTGTTGCGCTCGACTTCCAACAGGTGTAGTGCCCAAACAACCAACTCCAGCATGTAGTCCATCAGGAGCCATGCCAGAACCACCAACAGGTCCATGCTGCGAAGCATGGCGGCTTTGCGATTCATCAGGCAACATTGCTAGGGGCCCTTCACTAACGAGGCTCCGGTGCCACTAACAGAAAACACAGCCCTACGAAGTAGGGAAAAACCACTACACCACAGCGTGGTGTCCACCACAGCACAGCGTGCTGTTTTTCACTTGAGGCTCAAAGTGCGCACTGCGGTGCGAGGTACCTGACAGGTGAAAACAACAGAAGAAAGATTCAAGACGGAATCACACAGGAAACCACCATTGGGGAGTCAAGCCGCAAAATACTCATATTAATCCATTATATATATATATATAATATCAAAACCGTATGTATGTATGTATGTATGTATGTATGTATGTATGTATGCATGTATGTATGTATGTATGTATGTATGTATGAATGTATGTATTTGTGTGTATGTGTGTGTGTATGTGTGTGTATGTGTGTATGTGTGTATGTGTGTTGTGTGTGTGTATGTGTGTGTATGTATATGTATGTATGTGTATGTAGGTGTATGTAGGTGTATGTATGTGTATGTATGTGTATGTATGTGTATGTATACGTATGTATGTGTATGTATGCGTATGTATGTGTATGTATGTGTATATGTATGTATGTGTATGTTTATGTATGTTTATGTATGTGTATGTATGTGTATGTATGTATGTACGCGTATGTATGTGTATGTATGTATATATGCATGCATGTATGTATGTATGTATGTATGTATGAATGTATGAATGTATGAATGAATGTATGAATGTATGTATATATGTATGTATGTATGTACGTACGTACGTACGTATGTATGTATGTATGTATGTATGTATGTATGTATATGTTGTGAATATATATATATATATATATTATTTAAAAATGTTTTATAGATAAGTCTATATATATATATATATATCAATAAACGCGTTATACATATATATATATATATACATATATATATATATAAATACACCCATTAAATCCCATTAAATCCATTCATGTTTTTGTTCACGGTGAGCCATCTCCAGGTGAAGCCGTCCGCCGTCGCATCCACGGCACGTGGTGCAGCAGCCAGCCCAGCGTGCGCAGGTCACGACGCAGCTCGCGATTGGAGGCAGAAGCAGAAAGGCCACCTGCGACTGAAAGACCCACACTAGATGATACCCTCTGGTAAACGTTTACATAACTATGGAAATTCACCACCTTTTATGGGAAAACTCACTATTTCAATGGCCATGTATTGATGTTTATTGATTGGCTTATATATTGATTGGATGATATGGATGATTTTAGATGAAGTTTATTGATGTTTATTGAATAATGATGATGATGACGACATACAGTAATGATGTTAGTCATTGGGATTTATAGCCTAACATGGGATGGAATAAGGGACCAAATTGTGAAACAATCCCGACTTATGTACATCCCAATAACTCGAATTTAACCGTGGTTTATGGCAGCCATATATCGCACTACTATTCCTATGGTTTATAAACCAACGTTCACATCACTGAGGGGTACCGCGACAGGTTGACGGACCTAACTTGGTGAACTGTTGGCTTTATGGGAATTATAACGAACTAGTTAATGGATCTGGTTGGTGGCTTCAACCCCTCTGAAAAATATGAAAGTCAGATTGGATCATCATCCCAACTATTGGGGAAAATAAAAAATGTTCCACACCACCAACCAGGGATGTTAATAAGCTTTAATAACTTGAAACTCGGGGGTCACCATCCAGTGGAAAGGGTACGACATTCACCAATTCAGATGGTTAAATATGAACTACTATATGATGTGAATAGGATTTTCATAGGTGGTGTCACCAGGATATTTGTGAAGGATACGACTGACTTTAACCATTTAAGATGGGACGAAAAAAATGCGATATTTGAGTGGAATATTGAGAGAGGTTTGTGGAGTATAGTATGATATAATGTATGCAATGCAATGCAACGCACTGCAATACAATGCGATGCAACGCAATGCAATGCAATGTAATGTAATGCATGCATGCATGCATGTATGTATGTATGTATATACTTTTAATATCCTCCATTATCAGTTGCATGTGTATTGCTTGGATATTCACTACTTGTTGGGATATGTTCATGGGATGTTGTGTGAATATTGGCTACTTTTGATGGTACAATATGGTTATGTTTACCATTTTAAACGGATATTAGTTGGATATTTGTGGTGGCTTAATACTTAATGGAACAGTAACTGTGTTATATATATATATACATATATTGTAGAATCGGATATTAAGGGAAAAATAACGGGATTTTTTTTATGGGATATACCCCTAAACCAACAACTTGACTTGATTGGTAAAGAAAGGGTGCACAATTTCCATAGGAAAAGGAGTCAAAGTTCAGCCCTTTCACTGAATGTAGAATCCACTCAAGATAAGAAATCGACCCGGGGAGGGTACAACATTAACAATGTTATGGGAATATTATTGGTATATTATTGGTATATTGGTGGAAGATCAAATAAATTGAATATTAAGGGGGGGCAATGGAATAATGGAACATCGACTATCATGCGATGGTGTGACTATTTTGACTGGGATATAATGGGGGAGACACTAAAGCATAACCGGGATAGGCTGAATATGAGATAGAATTCCGCCGCCCAAAAAACTTCGAATTCTGGTGATTTATAGTTGGCGCTTTGCATGGGTGTAACCAGGCGAATTGTTGTGTTTATGGTGGATAGATGGGTGGATGGAGTTGGAAACCAAGTTATGCCTGAGATAAACCTCAGTTGGTGGAGCCCCAATTGGTGGTTGGTTGTGATTTAGTATTCCATACTGGATGCGTAGCCACTCATGCCTCTTGTGTAAAAAGCAGTAATAAATACATACATACATACATATATATATATATACATATATATATATATACATATATATATATACAGTCGGATCTCTCTTTCATGGGGCGCTATCACATTTGATATGGTTAAGTAGTGCTGCTTATCCATGTTTCATGTTTGAAGCCGGTGGCCCTTGGCCCAGTCCTCTGTTTTTGCAGCCTGCTGCCAGAACAACTTCCATGCCCAATCCTTGCTCTGAATCACTTCAAGGCCTCAACAAATCAGTCCACTGAAAAGATCTGCTGGATTAATTATTGGCCACTTGGTGTAAGCAACATGGACTTCTTCGCGCCAGCCCTGTTTCCTCCGAATGGGTTTTGCCCCCTTTCTCCTTTTCTTCCTGCCCCAAACTGTTTCACCGGCACGAAATTTGCCCGCTGCAGGGTGCCAATGCAAGTCAGCAACAGGAACTGTGATGTAACTTTAATGACACAGCACACATTTTTTGATGATGTAATCATACCATTCTTATACATATATATATTTATATATGGCTATAATACATACATATATATATATATATATATGTGGCTATGACATATATATATGTCTATAGTATATATATATATATATGGCTATAATACATATATATATGGCTATAATGTATATATATATATATAAATATTATAGCCATATATATATATGGCTATATGTATACTGTGCAGTATACTGTGCATATATATATATACTGTATATATATACATATATTAATGATTTCAGTTTCTGGGTATGTCGGAGGAAAATGATTTTATTACATAAATCATTGGGATTTGCTAATCAGCAAGTAGTGGCTTTCCCGTTGGGAATGGATGTCAAAGGGACACAGGATCTCATCATTCAAAGGGACACAGGATCTTCAACCCCGAATCATCAAAGTCATGGATGACCACGACTTAGTATTGAAACAACCATGGTGACTTTGGGATCCCCCATGTCAACAAACCCCTCATATGCCACTATAAGAACCACAATTAAACTGTCAAGAAACCTCCATATGCTTCTATAAGAACCACTATGAAAAAAAAACTATTATTAACCACTATTAAACCACTATTGCAAAGAACTCCCCCATATGTTACCTGGTTGGTGGTTTCAACCCCTTTGAAATTCATTAATCAGTCGGGATCACTATTCCCAATATATGGAAAAATAAAACATGTTCCAAACCACCAACCTGCTACTATAAGAACCACAATTAAACTGTCAAGAAACCTCCATATGCTTCTATAAGAACCACTATTAAACTACTATTAACCAATATTGAACCATTATTAGATTCAAGACACCCCCATGTGCTATTATAAGAACCACTATGACAAAAAATAGTTGATCAACTTGTATTTTAAAAAAGTTTTGACCATCTAGTATAATAGTAGTATAATAGTGATCAACCACCAGTTAATAGTATAACAGTAGTATGCTATTATTATTTACCTGGTTGGTGGTATACCTACCCCTCTGAAAAATGATGGAGCTCGTCCGTTGGGATGATGAAATTCCCAACTGAATGGAAAGTCATGAAAGCCATGTTCCAAACCACCAACCAGCCATATCTTAATTATAATCCCATAGAAATAACAAGTTTTTCACAAATAGCCATAACCACCAACAAGTTAACCATTTGATCCACAGCCGCCTGCTTCCGTGCTGGCCACCAGACGACGCAGGTGGGGCGCCTTGAGAAAAAAACATGTCGGGCGCAGGTGGCCAGAAAAAATGGTGGATTTCACCACTGGAAACATGGCATGATGCGTTAAACCATGCCTTAAACCATGGCTAGCATGGCAACTCCACACGATTTCACCAGAAAAATTACGGTGGTTTAAATGAGGAACAGATCTGGAGAACATGATGACTTACGGATATTAAAATTTGGAAAATGAGGCTGGAAATCAGCACAAGCGAAGGGGTTAAAAAAATGATTTTACCAGCAAAAACATTGACTTTAGTTATTTCTAAAAAAAATGTAAGTTTGGGAAAACCAGTAGTTGAAGCAACAGAAATTGTCAGGTCGAATCAAGTGGAATTTGGATAACCATGAAATGTGGTGAATTGGTAAATGAAGATAATCCAATATATCTGGTTGGTGGTACGGTGGTATACCTACCCCTCTGAAAAATGATGGAGTGAAAGTCAGTTGGGATGATGAAAGTCCCAACTGAATGGAAATTCATAAAAACCATGTTCCAAAGCACCAACCAAAAAATAGCTGATTATAATCTATAATGGGTATCTATCTCTATAGCAAGTCGTCGACATGGTAAGAACTTGAAGGTCAGATTCATGCCAGGCCCAGATCTGATATGAATGGTCCAAGTTTAGTCCCAGCTCATGCCACATATTGGCCCAGGGTTTTACAATTTGATGACTTGGGGTGCATTTCCAGCCATAAATGGATATAAACACGCACGGACCCCTTGGTTTGCCCGGACTGCAACATTGAGGATGCCATGTTGCGGAACATGATAGGAAAGATTGCAGAAATACCGCGTATACGCTGTGTTTACTGGCTTAGAACAATTTTTTTGTTTAGGTCTTAGGACTTTGGGTTTTAGGGTTTTTATTGTCTTGGGGTTGAGGGTTTTAGGGTTTAGGTTTTTCGGTTTTGGGTTTGTGGCCTGGGAAATACTAAAAAACACTGGCCGTGCGCAGGTATTTGAACATGTTGAAGACACTGCTCTAACTTTCCATAGTATTCCAAAATAGTAAAACAATAGTAATTGTAAAATCACTACACATACGTAAACACATAAGGATAAACAATTGTGTGTCTAATGAATCAGGTGGGGATGCAGCCTTACCCAAAACATGTTCCATTCGTCTTTCAGCGCTGCTAGCAAGATCTTCCTCTCTGGGCCTTTTCAGCCTAGAATCAGCATACCCAGGGTTTGGAAATCCAGGTGGTGGGCCCTCAGGTTCAGCACCGCAGTGAGGCTTGTAGTGTCAATTGGCCTGTCCCATGGTGGCAACGGTGGGTCCACCATTGGTGGGCTAACGGACCTCAGGTTGTGGCCTCGATCGTCTGAGCCCTGACATCTATGCGGATGGCTACACAAACCTGCTGAGCTCCGATATGGATGAGATGGACGATTGATATGATCAAAGGAAGTTGGGAAGCAATACTTCCGTGTTACGGACAAATAGAATTGTGGTTTACATCCAATAACAATACATCACAAAAGAATAAAAGGCTATGACACAGGGTGGTGTGAGACTTGACATCACATAACAACACATCACAAAAGAACAGGAGGCTATGACACAGGGTGGAAACGAAGGGCAGTGGTTACCAAGGGAAGTGGTGAGGAAGGGAAGTGGTGGCTAAGGGAAGTGGTGACGATGGGAAGTGTGGTGAGGAAGGCCAGTGGTGACTAAGGGAAGTGGTGACGAAGGGAAATGGTGACGAAGGGAAATGGTGACGAAGGGAAGTGGTGAGGAAGGGAAGTGGTGAGGAAGGGAAGTGGTGCCAATGGGAAGTGGTGACTTTGGGAAGTGGTGACTAAGGGAAGTGGTGACTAAGGGAAGTGGTGACGAAGGGAAGTGGTGACTAAGGGAAGTGGTGACGAAGGGAAGTGGTGGGAAGTGGTGACTTTGGGAAGTGGTGACTAAGGGAAGTGGTGACGAAGGGAAGTGGTGACTAAGGGAAGTGGTGACGAAGGGAAGTGGTGGGAAGTGGTGACTTTGGGAAGTGGTGACTTTGTCATGGCTGCATGACTGTTGCCTGGGCTGTGTTTTGGGGAGGAAGCAGGAGCACGAAACCTTGTTTTTTCCCCGTGTAAAGTGGTTGCAGCCGGCGATGAAAGGTACCTCGTGTGTGCGGCGGGTGCGGCTGGGGCCGTTTCTGTCGCGAATGTGTTCCTCCTCTGTTCTGCAATGGGTGGTTGTGTCTGTGTGCGTAGTTTCTTGAATCTGTGGTTGCAGATCGCATTGGAATGGCTGCATGATTGTTGTCATCTGGTGTTGCCATGTGTGTAGAGAGATGCAGGTTTGCTACGGGATACTGCGAAACGTATTGTAATGGCTGCATGAATGTTGCCTGGGCTTTGTCTTGGGGAGGAACCCGGAGCAGACCTTGTAATTTTTCCGTGTAAAGTGGTTGCAGCCGGCGATGAAAGGTACCTCGTGTGTGCGGCTGCGGTCGTTCCGGACGCGATGGGTTCCTCCTCTGTGTTCTGCAACGAGTGGTTGTGTCGATGTGCGTAGATGCGTTTCTTGAATCTGTGGTTGCAGATCGCATTGGAATGGCTGCTTGATTGTTGTCATCTGGTGTTGCCACGTGTGTAGAGAGATGCAGGTTTGCTACAGGATACTGCGAAACGTATTGTAATGGCTGCATGAATGTTGCCTGGGCTTTGTTTACGGGAGGAAGCCGGAGCATGAAACCTTGTATTTTTGTTCCGTGTAAAGTGGTTGCAGCCGGCGATGAAAGGTACCTCGTGTGTGCGGCGGGTGCGGCTGGGGTCGTTTCTGTCGCGAATGTGCCTCCTCTGTGTTCTGCAACGAGTGGTTGTTCCTGTGTGCGTAGTTCTATTCGTGTGTTGAATCTGCGGTTGCAGATCGCATTGGAATGGCTGCATGATTATTGTCATCTGGTGTTGCCATGTGCGTAGATCCGTGCAGGTTTGCGACGTGATGCGGCGAAACGTATTGTAATGGCTGTGTCAAGGTTGCTTGGTGCCGCGGCTGCATGCGTAATACGATTGTCTTTTGCAGCCGGATTTCGTCAATTGTATTTGAGTGGCTGCATCAAGGCTGCGACAGTGATTTGTCAGCAGATTTTCTGAATTTTGGCACTAGCAATTTTCCTTTTAAAAGTCCTTTTAAAAGTGCTTCAAAATCGACTTTTTGTTGCTGTGGCGTCTGAGATGAGCTGGGATAAGGTGAGAAGAGCTCAGATGAGATGAAGTGTGGAGTGTGAAGAGTGCAGTGTGAAGTGTGGGGCGTGAAGAGTGCAGTGTGAAGTGTGGAGTGTGAAGTGTGAAGTGTGGAGTGTGAAGAAAGCAGTGAGAAGTGAGAAGTGTGGACTGTGAAGTGCGAAGTGTGGAGTGTGAAGTGTGGAGTCTTAAGAGCGCAGTGTAAAGTGAAGTGTGGAGTGCGAAGAGTGCAGTGTGAAGTGTGACGTATGGAGTGTGAAGTGTGGAGTGTGAAGAGTGCAGTGAGAAGTGTGAAGTGCGAAGCGGAGCTTCAAATGTGACATGTGAAACAGGACACCACTTTCGCAGAATGCACGCACGCACGGGCTTGGCTGGCGCATGGCACATGCAAGCACTATAGATGAGAAAGGTCTTATATATCCCTAAGGCAACTTCCGCCCCGCCTCGTGCGGGTACTACCGGTATGATATGATTTGGATGTTGCCATGTTCATCATGTCCGATATATATATATATATATACATATATATATAGATATATATATATATATAAACATATGAAATATATGATGTATCTGGTATATATATGATATTAAATATATATGATATATAAGATATATATGATATATTTATATATATATATATAATATGATTTCAAATATATATATATATGGTTTAAATGGTATATATGATATATGATATATGATATACGATATATGATATATATATATATATATACGATATATGATATATATATATATATATGATAACTATGATATATATATATATATATATGATATATTTATATATATGATATATATATATATATATGTATATATGATAAATATATATATGAAATATATACATATATATATGATATATTTATATGCTATATATATATATATATTTATTTCATAGAAATCAATGGTACAATGAAATCAAAAATATTTATGATATATATATATACACATGATATATATGATATATATGTGATATTAAATGGTATATATATATATGTAATATTATATATATGTAATATTATATATATGTAATATTATATACATATGTAATATTATATAAAAGTAATATTAAATACATATATATATGTAATATTATATATATATGCAATAGTATATATATGTGATACTATTTATATTTATAATATTACATAGAATGGTTAATCAAAATTCCTTTATCCGCAAACGACCATTCTTCGCGAATAAACATGTTACTTTCGCGAACTCCACGTTTATCTATCGCGGAGCCCATGTTGGGCAACAACGCCTCTTATGAAGATTCGTTCATCACCTGCCAAATTACGCCAGAGAATCACGGATCACTTCTTGATAGCCTTTTTCAACGTGCAGCTAGCATCACGGAATCCCTTCTCAGGACAGATTGTTGCTGACTAGTTTTTTTTGACAAGGTTTACTGACCCACCCCCTTCAACATGCACTTTGACTTACGCCCGCTCCTTCGCAGAACTTTCGCGAAAATATCCCTATTCACAAACCCCGGCCATCAGCAGGGGGCGCATTGAAGGAAAAGCGGACACCAGGGGCCTTGGTGTTTGCCTCTCGCAAAGCTTCACTTTTGGAAACTTGGCTGCTGCATTTGGAGCTTGTTTCTTCAGACTTCAAAAATCATCATTGGTAGACAGCGGCAGGTGCAAGGATGTGCTTCAGGACCATGGTGTTTGGCTGTCGCAAAGCCTCACATTTGGACTTATGAAGGGGCAAAGTGATTGTCCAAAAGCACCACCACACAGGGAACTGAACCAGAACCAAACCGAAATTCTCCGGTGCCCTTCTCCTGCCGGCAGTGGGTAGCAGCCCTTTACACAATGATTATAATATCCAACTTTCGCGAAACTTTTGCGAAAAAACATGTTACTTTCGTGAACTCGAAAAAAAAAACTTTCGCGAGGTTTTCAAGGACCTTTAGATATATATGTATGTGAAACATTATAATATATATATATGCTAGATATAAAAACAATGATATAAATATGTTATATTTAAAGAAAGCTATGATATATAATCTATATAAAACCTATTGTAAATATTGCAAAACCAACCCGCCAACCAATCAGTTCCGGCAGCTGGGTCAGTGCACTAAGACCCGATATCCGAAGCGTGGCCATAGAATCGCAATGCCTCGGTCGCGTTTGCCAGGTTCACAAACAAGAATACAGGATTATCATTTCAATATAAGTCAATAGTAAGTGATTTTTATGTTTTAGTTTCTCTTATCTAGATGTATCTAGTTTGTCTTAATGTATTTCAATGTATTAATGCATGTTTATAGTAAGTGGTTTGTGACCCTAGGTATGGTAGGGATAAAATGTGCAAACCCAAAACCATGAACCATACACAACAACAGGTATACCAGTAATGGCTTGCATTTATCCCCAAGTGGGGCTTTGTGGTATTGGGTTTGTTACACTAAGATGTGCGAATTTGGATTGAACCAACAATATGTTGGAATTGAGCAAACAACAAATGGACTGAACAGACAACATATTCTACCAGCGAAGCGAAGACTGACTGTCATATCACCGACGAAAACTGAAAGTAGACAAACAAGTGGGACACAATTAACCCCAAAACAATACACTCTTCGGCTGCTTAACACGCGAGGGTCCTCTTTAGAGCGCGAGGCCCCCTGATAAACAAATGAAGGATGATCAAGGTTTATGTTTCCACGGTTGGATTTTTGGTTGTTAAAGGTGGGATGTGTGTCTTGCTGATTGAAGCTGTTTTCTGCGGGTCTTGGGAATTTCCGAATGGGACATGTCGTCTCTCGGTATGCTTACCTTAGGTGAAAAAATATGGGGCGGGAACCCTTTCATGATTTTGCATATTTTTCGATGTTGCAGGACACATCCCTTGGTTTATAAGACCCTCATTTGGATCGGCAAAAATTCACCAACATGACTCGTTTAATTCTATAACATGTTGCATTGCGCTTCGTTACATTATTCCACGCTACGAGTACCAGGTTCGTAGGTTATATACTGGTCTGTGCTGCTAAAGCAATTACTTGACTTCCAGTGATCCCCACCATAGCATTTCAAGACAAATATTTGGACATATATTCTGAAAATTTACCTAACATTCTATCTGACATCTATTCTGACATTCTATTGGACATCTATTCTGACATTCAATTTCGCATTCGATCTGACATATATTCCGACTTTCTATCTTGCATATATTCTGACATTCTATCTTGCATTCTGTCTGACATATGTTCTGACAGTCTACCTGACATTTATTCTGACATTCTATTTGGCAATCTATCTGACATATATTCTGACTTTCTATCTGACATATAATCTGACATTCGGTCTGGCATTCTCTCTGACATTATTTTGACAGTCTACCTGACATATATTCTGACATTCTATCTGACATATATTTTGACATTCTATTTGACATCTATTCTGACATTCAATTTGGCATTTGATCTGACATATATTCCGACTTTCTATCTTGCATATATTCTGACATTCTATCTGGCATTCTGTCTGACATATGTTCTGACAGTCTACCTGGCATATATAGTCTGACATTCTATCTGGGCTTGCTGCTCGGGTCCGGCGGGGACCACTCTGATCCGGGGCTTTCTGTTCGCGTCTGGCGGGGACCACTGCGATCTCGAGCTTGCAGTTGAGGTCCGGCGGAAGAAGGAAGGACGAAGGAAGGAAGGAGTAGAGCTGACATAAAATCAAACAACCCTCACCTGACAGGTGGGGAAAAATCTGGATTTCTGTGTTGTTAACATCCACATTTTAGTTCTGAATACCCACGTTCTAGATCATTCTAGATCCTTTTGGCAATTTTCTGTTGACATATCCACCTTGTCTCCGGTCTTGATCTTGTGTGATTTGCAATATACACCAAACCTGATCTGTTGGCCATTGCTGGCACTTCCGCAGGTTCTTGCGTTGTTTTTGGTGATGTCAGCGTTGAGATGGCAATATTTTTTTGACAGAAGAACCTTCAAATGGGTATGTGGTTTGTGGTAAGACGCAACTGGCAAAGTTTGGTAAATTGAGGTTAGGCATTGTTTCATTAATTAATATAAGTCTTACCACCTGAAAGTAGGTCAAAATCCTGCTGCTCCGCTGCTGAATCCAAAAATGTTGACAGCGTGGCTCAGCGTGGTCAAGGTGTTTCTTGAGCAAATTAAGATATTTCAGGGTCATATGGATGTTTTTTTCAATGGTGCAGGTCCTGGTGTCCTGGTCCTTTCCACAATGAAGGGATCTTTCGGAGGGCCTTGTAGAAGATCAAAGGTCTGTTAGGGAAAGCCTCATGAAGCTCTGCCATCTCCCACTCTTTCAGATACTGTCTCACGATCTTTGTGTCTTTTAATTTTATTGTTCGTTGGACTTGAAGAGCGTGAGTTGCGGCATTGATCATTCTGAGACGCAGAATTCCATAAGAATTTGCTGTTCTGATCGTGGTCATAGCGGATGAGATAAGTCTAGAAGCAGCATGAGGAACGTACCTGTCAAAAATCAAGTCTCCAATCTTTTCTGTGGTCACATCAGGAAACACCTTCATGGAGTTGATTTCTTGCACTCCCATGGGCTGTCCCAAACACTCCAGAAAGATCAGAGTGTCGAAGAGATTCTTTCGTGAAAATTGCCTGCTTTGAGAGCATTGGCCACTGCCATCAAGAATCTCAAAACCGCATCATCTGAACGACACACATAAGCAAAATTCTTCAAGAACATAGTGGGCTCTTTTCCCAAATCAAAAGCTTCACAAACTGTTGGAAGATGGCCAAGTCCTACGTGTGTTGCAAATCCCATCCTTCGATGTCGGTTCCTTCCGAATCCTTCGCCGTTTGCACTTTCTTTGGCCTCTTTTACTGAAATCACCAAATATCATCATTCCATCAATCTTAGGATGATACTCCATCAATATCCTATGAAAAACCATCATGTTTCTTACTAAAGTCACCATGTTTCCACTATTCAAGCACCATTTTTGGGTTATTCCCTGGTGCCCCAAAGAAGGGGCGGCCCCAAAAGGTGCCCCCACGTCTGGCCAGCAGCCGCCCCGAAGACCAGAGTTGGTCCGAGGCAGCCAGGCCTTGGAAAGGCGGGAAAACATAGGGAGTTTTCAGGGTTTAACTGTTCTAAGTTCTACAACTAGACGGATTCATCAGTTCTAAGTCTAATTAAGTAACTAACTAGTTGTGAACTACTAGTTTAACACAATTGAATTTGGAGTTCTATGGGTTTACCTTGGAAACCTTAGAACTTAGACTCTACAAAGGGTTTAATGGGTGTGAAAATGGTCTACACCACCCCAAAATAGCTGCTTAATTTTGGGAAAATGATGGTAAATCACTGCATTTTGAGATACACTATATTTTCAGACAAACCAAAGGTGATCAAAATCCTCAAGTTCTGTGCGGAAATTGGGATTGAGGCAGCAAAAGAATGCATCTTTGAGGGCTTGACTCACAGAGACATGGGATTAAACCAATTTTACCAACACACAATCGGACTTATATATACAACCACATGTTACCAACAAAAAGGATTTAACCAACAAAAAAATGCACTGTAATTGGCAAAGAAAGAAGGAGGCCTTTGACCAACAAGAATTATATATAATTTAGCCAACATGGTATAACTTATAACCAACAGCATTTAACCAAGGGCAGAAACGGTGAGAATTTATAATCCAATCAACCAACAAACAATATCACACATCTAATGCACATGCGAGATGAACAACTTCATTGCGATCGGGTTTTTGCCCCCCACGATCTGCTCAATCAAATCAAAATGACTGCAACCCTTGGCCGCTTAGATCAACGTTGGGTTCCCGGTCAGTGGAGCATCTGAAGGCAGGCCATGATGATCCCCACACGTTGCGGTGCCTGGACGGCTGCAGTGGTCAAGTTTTACACGGTCCAAGCTATCAAGCTATCTATCTATTTATCTATCTATCTGTCTATCTATCAATCTACCTATCTATCTATCTACCTACCTACCTATCCATCTATCTATCTATCTATCCATCTATCTATCTATCTACATATATAGATACATACGTGTGTATAAATAAATAAATAAATAAATAAATAAATAAATAAATATATATATATATATGTATATATATATATATACATATGTATATGTATATATACGTGTATATATATATATTATATAAACGTGTACGTAAATATGAGTATATAATCGTAAATAAAAAATAGTAAATAAATACATACATATGTTTATATATATATATATTATGTAACACGTAAACGGATGTTGTAGAAACCAACAGAAATATGGAAATAAATGGACTAGTAATTTGGTATGATATACGTGCCACGGTCAAGTTACATTGGGGCCATACATCCCCACTATGGGAAACCTACTATGGGAATACTAATCCGTCTTGATGGATTGATAACCATGCCCTAATATTGGTATATAATACATGTTTTTACCATGGCACACATGAAGGGGCCCTAAACCGATACAACGATGCCAACAATTGGACTGTGATAGGTAGGTTCCTTTACGATAGGTAAGTTGGTCTATGTTAGTTGAATTATAACTAGGTCAGGGTTGGGTGTATGATGGATATATACAGTTGGATAGGTTCATAACCCGATTTATGACTGGGCCCCTTCCTGAAGGGATTCTGCTGCCTCGAGACACTTGAAAGGGTGCTCTGGGAAGGAAGAAAATGAAACGACTGATGAAGCAACCGCATTGCCTATATGGAGAAGTATGACGTCACTAGTTTGAGTGGGTAAAATTGCCACTTGCCAAACATATTGCATTCAATGGTCTCAGCTCACCCAGCAAAGCGAAGAAATAGACTCACCAAAAACACAAGTATTTTACCCTTGCACCGGACTTTGGAAAGAAAGAGGAAAGGTTCCAATGCCCACAGGGTGCAAATATTGGTTATAAATGGGACGTATCTTGAAAGGGATACCTTGCTCATTCACTCCATGCCTAGATGCCTTGGGTCAGCCAGGAAGTCAATGGTTCGTGTTTCATGCATCATTTGATGTCATTTTACCAAGTGTGACCCCAAAACATGGAAAAACAAATGGATCGAACAATCTACAACATAAAAAATATCTCAAGTATTTCTGTGTGCTATACGGTTGTTCTTGGTCATTTTGAATACTAAACAATCCAAATCTTCACGCGAACCATTCCTGAAAGCACCGCGCTACTTGGAGTAGCATCTCAGTTAAACGAAGCGGTTCATAACCCCGGTCCACAAGTGCCCCAACTGGGCTTATCCCATTCATTACCTGGTTAGAACCCCGCTAACCTACCAAGCAGTTCCGAAGAGTGCGGTGATCATCCAAGTACTTGCAGGATCATCCCACTATATCCCACTTAGTAAGTGGTGAGTAATCCTGGTTTTCACGTCCCCTAAGCACTTCCCATGTATAATCGGGTTAGAAGCCCACAAACACGATCCACTTATTTTTTATAACCGTAGTTATAATCCATTTGAAGATGGGTTAACCCACTTAAGGGACTTACCATCACCAGGGTTATGAACCACTTACCAATCTGGGCTGCTCCCCCAAGTAACTCCAGCTGCCTCCGCGCTTCCGGCAACCAAATCGCAACATGCCTCCAAGGCATCTGCCTGCGCCATGGGCCGTTTGGGGAGTCAAGCAGCCCTCCTGGTTGGTGATCCAACCCAATCTATGGTTCATGAAGAGCGAATCTGAAAGAACCAAAAAAACGATTATTTTACAACGGGAAAATTGTGGAGACTTATTAAAAATTCCAATTTCCCTTAAGGTTTATGAGGGGATCTAAATCCGCCGACCTGCTGGCGTGGTTTGTAGATATTCTTGCGGCACATCTTGTGATAGCTTTAGCTTCACCTATAGTTGCTCCTTCGACGGATTGATTTTTGGTTTCGCAGCTGCCGGAAGACTCAGGCCTGGGCAATCGTTCCAACAAATCGGGTACAGAGAATAAGTACTTTAAAATCAAGTAATGTATCATAACATAACTATTCAGTTTGGCCATCGTTTTTTGTGAAAATGATTGTCTTGGAATGCGTTCCCATCTCTATATCTTCAATTCAGGGAAAGCAAAAGAATATTTGCGAATCAAGTCAAACGACTGACACTCTTGCAGACATGATTGGCGAACGCAGCCCATCCACTATTTTAATGGCCATCTCAAAGGATGTCATAGCACCGTCCCTTTGCTGCAGCATCTGGTGCACCTGCAGCAGGGTAATGATTATCGACTCATTTATCAACAAGTTACTCAGTAACAGAAACGTTTTCCAACCCTTTTCTGCAGATCTCCTCTGATCCCTCACTGGCAACTTTAAGGTCACTTTCTCCTCCGGATGAGTCCAGGACTCTCCCTGACACTATATCATTTTCCAACCCAATCCACCATCTGGCAAGTTAAACTTGATTCCCAGCCCCCATGGGAAAAAACATGAAGAAGAAATCAACCCCAAATCCAAGTAACCACATCAAAGCGCTCCACCTACACCAGGCCGCAGATCATGATCGGGGGGTGCAAGACCAGATGCTGTCTCCCACGTGTTGCGCCAGCAAAGTCGCAACTTCCAGTTTCCCCCAGACAGCACAGTGTAGAAGGACAAATCGCACCGCATGAAAGTTGGGGATGCATTGGGCGCGGTGGCGGGTCATTATGGCGACGTGTGAATCGCTGTTGGCAGCAGCGCTGCACGCCACCACAGCAGCAGCAAAAGCCGCAGAAGGGCAACCCTGTGGTGAAGACCGCAGCGTAGTCCTGACACGCAAGGTTGGCAGCCAAATGGTATCAGTGCAACCATAGCACTATAGAATCAGTATACAACCTTCTACCAGCAACCTAAGAATTCAAACAATGAACCCCAAAAAAACACAGCACACCAAGTCACCCACACCTTCAAACAAGACTTGGGAAACCCAGTCAACAACAACCTCAATCGATCAATCTTGGGCAAGGGGCTGGATGGATCTGCAGTCATGGTGCCACCTGCCGCAAACATCACTACAAAGTGGGTGGCTTGGCGAGCCACCCCCATCGTCCCTGATGTCTTTTTGCCAACCCGCAACACTTCGGTGGTTTTTACCTCCACCTTCCGCACAGGAGATGGTTGATCTTCAGCTGCAATCTTTACAGCAGGCAAAGATCAACCATGCAAAACCACAAACCTTGAAAAAAACATGACAAAATCAAAAGGCTATGACAAGATTCTGTGGTGGGTCCAGCTCCATAGCTTCAATGGGATCAGCTGGCAGGTCAACGCAAGGATTCATGTGTTGATATGAACGGGCTGCATGCAGCGCAAGTTGTGCAGGAAATTGCGAACCGATAGAAGCATTGTGTCGAAATCAGGAATGATGTTTGCCAAATAGCAAGCTAATTGCTGAAGGTGATTGAGTAGCTGCAATGTCACTGGATTGGCCTTTGAACATGAGTTGGTGCCCCACATTTTTTGTAAGCCCCAGAACATGGTTTTGAGCCTCACGGGTACACCTCATTTCATAGGCCAGTGGTGATGTGAACCCTTAAAAAAACCCATGCAAATTCCAAATCACCACAAACAAAATCAAACACCTTAAGCACCCCTTTGAAATTTGTTATACCCGCTTTGCTTCCTGCTGATCACCTAGCTTAAGGAAAATTGTGGGTGAACCATGGGGCTATCTGATCACTTTGTTGACAAATTTTCGGTTCCCTTGACACATCATCCGGTCGGAGTTCTCTCATGAACCCATGCCATTGGCACCTTCTCAGAGGTGATGTGGCACAGCAGTGGCAGCAGCAGCAGCAGCAGCTGCTACAGCTGCTGCAATGGGATGGGATCCAGCCGGGGTTGATGAGATGCGACCAGATGATAGGACAAACTGGGAATATAGTTACTTAAGGGTCGAATAAACAATTACTAATCAGGTTAAAAATGGCGAAACTAAGGTGAATCGATCTCATTTTGATCTTTGAAATAGTGGCTCACATGAAATACCACCTATTCAGCTATCATAAAAGCGGCACAGTCTAGTATAGTGTAGTATAGTCTAGTGTAGTATAGTCTACTCTAGCACATAGTCTAGTCTAGTAAAGCCTCGTATGGCCTAGTATAGTCTCGCGTCGTCTTGTCGCTTTTCTCGAAAGCTACCTAGCACTAATCTTGTTTACATCATCGTCGTCTCGGTGGTCATCGTCAACATCATCATCACATATCATCACCATCATCATCGTCATCATCCTCATCCTCATCATCAACATCATCAACATCATCATCATCATCATCAGGTTCATCTTCTTCTTCCGTCTCGCCCCTGCAATGCGGCATTTTTCCACGCTTTCTCCACGGTTTCCTGCCCTTTCCAGCCAGAAGCACGTTCAAACCTGCCGCTTTTGTGCCCAACACTTTCCATACGCACCTGCCACTCCTGCTCTTCCTCTGCACTCACGGCTTTCTCCGCATGCACTCTCAAAGCCATGCCGCTTGCATCTACCAACTTGACTCTTCTCCGTTTAACCCCCAAGGTCTTACACACGCCCAGCTTTTACACAAACGAACTTTTACACCAGCCAGCTTTTACACAAACACTCTTTTACACCAAGCACTTTTTGCAGAAACCCACTTTTACACAAACTCGCTTTTCCACAGACCACCATTTACACCAACCAGGTCTTACACAAAGGAGCTTTTACACGCACCAGCTTCTACGCAAACCAACTGTTCGACCAACCAGCTTTTACACAATCCACGTTTTGCACCAACCAACTTTTACAAGCCAGTTTGTACACAAATCAGCTTTTACACAAACCAGCTTTACCCAAACCAACTTTTTGACAAACCACCTTTTACGCAAACCACCTTTTCCACCAACCAGCTTTACACAACCCCTCCTCGTGGCCTGTAGGCCAATGGCCAGAGGGCCGGCGGAATGACGAAGGCTGTTAAATATTGGGAGAGTCATCTTTGGGGGTTAGCCAATTACAAAAGCTGTTACAGTGGCCATTCAGGTATAATATTGTATAATGAATCCGAATGTGCTCAAAATACTATGGCCAAACCACCTTCAAGCGCTATAAGCACTGCTGGAAAGAGGGTCAAAACAAAATGCGTGGCAATCTGCGAGATCTCATACGGATACAGTAGATAGAATATGAAATAATAAACAACACCTGGGGACATTCAACATAACAATGCGTAACACCTAAATTCGCTACCACTCTGGTAAACCCAATCCCTCAAAAACCATTTTGGGGGACCCTTGTTTTCAATACCACCGCAAGTGGAAAGTCATTCGGTAAATGAGACATAAGTCATGGCTTCAGGCTCCAGGTTTACCACATTCAAATTCCCCTATGCCCCATCTATGGCACGTATATAATATTACATATACAGCTATTAAAAGACTTACCCCAAAAAAACTTTTAATACTGTGGGAACCCAATAACAAACCTACCATTTTGGGACGATTCAAAAACACTCCATAAAAAAATGGCGATGACTTGGGAATGGTTAAAAACAATGACACTTTTGCCTTTACCAAAACCTACAAAAAACTCACATAAAACCGTTTTCCCACAAAAAAAAAACTCTACCATGCATACCATGCCAGCCAGCGCTTGCGCCACACCTGTAGCAAGCAATAGGCCAAGCCATGTGCATAGCTGGGATACTCGGCCACGATGTCCTACCCGTGAAACATTGGTGGTAGCTGAATTGGCACCTGGTGAATTACCATAGTTACTATAGTTATATAGCTATAGACTATATATATAGAGATATCATCTAAAGTTACTATATCTGGTTGGTGGTTCACCTACCCCTCTGAAAAATATGATTTTGTCAAATGGGATGATGACATTTCCAATATATGGAAAAAAACATGTTCCAAACCGCCTACCAGATGTTTAAGTCCAATGAGGTTTCAATGTCTTCTTTTGAAGAAATGATTTTAGAACATTTCGGAATTGTTTTCAACAAAAACTTACCGCAGCAAAATGGATCCAAAGCACCGCTTCAAGCCATGTAGATTTAGGTATTTGGGTGCACCACTTTGGAGGGATGGGGGCTGGGGTAGTGACCTGTAGTCCACATCAACCCACCTGCTTGAATACGTCAGAATACGTCAGAATACGATCTGAACGATGATTTGGGGGTGACCCAGTTCGTTAGCTAAGTTGGTTTGTTACTCCAATAACTATGGTTTATGATAGGTATATCTATACTTACCATTGTTTATAAACCAGCAAACATAACTGGGGGACCACCACCTTGTTTGGGGCTGAACCCCTCAGCCACCCCCCCAACCCTGAATCCCGCCATCTCCTGCAGTGGCGTCTCTTCGGAGGATTGCCGAAAGCTGGAGACTTCCGAGGAGAAGAACTGGAACGTTGCAAGTTCCTGGTGAAACGTCGAAGGAAATATGTTAATGGTTAAGGGGTGGTTATGCAATGGCTAATGGTTAATGGTATTTAATGGTAACGATTATATATATAATATGATATTTTGGAATGATTGATGGTGGTTTAATGGTGTGAAATGGTGGTTGATAAAGGTTGATGATGGTTATATAATGATGGTTGAATGATGGTTAGCTAGTTAATGATGGGTTTATCAGGTGGATATCTACTGGGGTGTATAACCAACATATATGAGTGATATCGAGAAAAGCAACGATAAATCCAGTATGATTAATTCTCTAGTTACTGTAACTTGTACCTTCACTGAAGTTTCAGTATCAACTCACGCATCAAAGTGTTCGAATTTGCCCAAATCGAAAATATACCCTCTGGTAAACTAACATAACTATGGAAAATCACCATTTTTAATGGTAATGTTCACTTAAATTACCAGAGGGTAACTTTCAATAGAAAACAAAGAAATTTGGTGGATTCTGATTTGACCCCCCTCCACATGTTTCATCTTGGGATGATTCTCCTTTCGAAGCTTAGATGATCAGTCGGTTCAATCAGATTTTCCCCATCCAGCTCCTTGATGCAAATCAAGGAATCACCCATAGAATCGGATGTTTGTCTTATCCCATCACATTGTTCTGTACATACCCATAGGATCCATGGTGCTGCTATATATGGTGCTCCATGGATCCCATCAATATACCCCCAGTCATGTTAGCATTAATATACCAGCACCATACATGGATCCGTCATGGGATATGACCGGATCCAGTTCCCATCAGATACCCATGGCATTTCCATGGTCCAAAACATATATAAATCGATCAATGCAAACTCCAGATGGGGATGGGTCAAAACCTTGCACCCCTGGTGAACATCAAAATAGCTGGTAAATGGATGTTCATCCCCCTAAAAATTGTATTTATAGGTATTGATTCATAGCCAGACGTATAATGAAGTACAGTAAGTCTATCGTCATACACAATCTTGTCAGATTAATATTTTCTATGACGCCCATTGTCTTTATCCAGATCTGTCCCGACATGTGTCATATCATTGTCGAACATGTATAGATTGTATTAAATGAAATCCATCTCAATTGACACTAATCAATCTATCATGCCCATCATATATCGCTACCAAACATCCCTCTAATCTTAATTTCCAACAATCCACCATGTTTTCCATTTTCAAGATCAATTTTTCTATCTTGATATCTCCAATTTCTCCGATTGAAACTCCATTTACACCATTGAATTTCATCTCAAATCGCCATGTCACACTGGTTTTCACAAGGTGGTGCCCCAGTTCGTTCGCTAAGTTGGTGCAAATAACTCCACCTTCACTATGATTTTTGTTGGTGATATATCTATACTATTCCTATGGTTTTTACGCCAACGTTCACATCACTGGGGGCACCACCCTGCAGCACCATTTTTCCAGCTGAACTCCTCCTCCCCATTGACCGTGTCTCCTGCAGCACTTGCCAGAGCTTCAGTTTCAAGCGGCCGTTGCCCGCGCGCATGGCGCTCACGGCCATGAAGATCGCCAGGGCGAAATCCTCCACGGTGTCCCCCACGAAACTCGTGGTGGTCGGTTGAACCAACAAAGATTGAGAATTGACCAATCAGAATTCGGGATTTCATGAAATTTAGAGTTGATTGATTGATTGGTGATTCAAGAATCATGGAAAACATACGTTGGATTTTCCCATGGGGGCCTTTCTGGATTTAGGATCTTTTTCACCATGATCCGATGGAGATTTTGAACTTTGAATGATTGTGGATTGTGATTGAACCAAAGACCGGTGACCATTGGAACTTAAACAAAGATCATATAGGGTATCATAGTTAAATTATGATAGCTAATTAAATTGGATTGTACACCTACCATAGTTATATAGTTATAGTATATGTTATAATCACCATAAACCCAAGCTAATCCAATTATAAACCGACTTAGCCAACTTTATGAGGCACCACCTTGTCTGCATGCCTTGAAGCTCTCACCCCCCACCGCCCGCAAATATGGGGCAAATGTAAATGTGAAAAACTGGTCCGGAAACAGGTTTCATTTGAAACGAATCACCAACAAATTGAGGCTACCTCGGCAATGATGTAAACATGGGAACTCAAAGATTTGTCCAACAACAACCTGCCAAGAAGCTGTTTTAGCAAAAGACAATTGGGGGTGAGGCTTTGAAGCTACCACTTTTTGGGGGGAAAACAATTTCACCAACAAAGCCAAATGACCACAGTACCCTCTTGTAGTTTAACATAGCTATGAAGAATGGCTTAAAACATTATTTACATATTAAAAATTGTGATTTGTCCATTGTTGTCTTCATCTTGATGTGGGCCAAATGATTGGGACCCCTCAAATTAGCTGGGTCAAACAAATCTTCAGCACAAGCTACCTGCACATACATAGGCACAGCCTGCACCCCATTGAGTGCCGCTGGTAGCATGTCATAAAAATGAAGCCATCCACTTCTTCTGGCAGATTGAGAGTCTCCTTCAGCTCGGTGATTGCCCTTGTCACCTTCGTGACCTTATTCCCATCTGTTTTCAGAGGAGTGAACAGTCCAGCGTCGAACTTCATAGGCGTGCTGAACCGGTATGTGTCTATGAACATCCTGCCCACGCTCACAGCATCTCCGCAAGCCGATAATGCTGGAGCAATTGCCGCGTCTTCAATCGTCCTCACGTATAGGCCACCGTTTCCTGGCGGTGATCCACCACAATGATGCGATGTCAGCTTTGTTATTGTGTTAAATGACCACAGGGTAACATGGTGATTTTCACCGACAAAAGACACGGAAGACACCTGGAGATCTCAGGAAGCAAAAGGGTTTACTAAAGGGTTGTCAAAAAAATAGGGTACCTTAAGACTTGATATTTAATCATCATGTGCCTCATGACAAACTTTCCATGTGTGATGCCGTATGCCCCACTTTCAAACACACCCAACGTTGTCATATTGCTGGTCGTGTATGGTTCTATCCCAATAAATCCGTAAAATACCTATTTGTTTAATGGATTTTAATGGTAAAATCACTATTTGTTCATGGTTAAAACCCTATTTCTTCATGGAACAACGAGCATTTTTCATGGTGAAACCGTTGAACACATTCCGACACGGGGCAGCAGCTGAGCGGTCACTGGACCTGGTTGGCCAAGTCTAGGAGGTCGGATGCTGTGACCTGGCAGATGTCACCTGATAAGGGGAATACCCTCTGGTTATGTCAAAATAGCTATCGAAAATGGCCCATTTATAGTTGTTTTTCCCATTAAAAATTGTGATTTTCCATAGTTATGTTTGTTTACCTGGTAATGACACACAGTTTGCTATTGAAAATGGTGATTTATAGTCACTTTATAGTGGATTTAGCTATTAGAAATGGTGATTTATAGTGGATTTACCTATTAGAAATTTACAGTGGATTAGTGATTTATAGTGGATTTACTATATTACTATTGAAAATGGTGATTTATAGTGGATTTACCTATTAGAAATGGTGATGTTCAATAGTTATGTAAATGTTTACCAGAGGGTATATCAAGAGAATGGGTATATCTTATCGGGTTGGTGGTATACCTACTATACCTACCCCTCTGAAAAATATGAAAGTCAGTTGGGATCCTTATTCCCAATATACGGAAAAAAGAAAAATGTTCCAAACCACCAACCAGGTATATATTATGTAGTAAATGAAAACGGAATATATTGTATATTGATATATCAACAAAATGAATGGGAATAAATATATATATATATATCAACAAAATGGATAGCATATTCAACAGAATATGAGATGGGTATATATTGTGGGTAATGGCATGCAATTATTAGTGGGCAATGATATGTAATGGGTAATGGGGAATGAGATGGGCAATTTCCCATGGGAATATATTAATGGAGAATGATATGTAATGATATGCCGTTATTATATGTAAGACTGTGCATATTATCAATGGGTATATAATTTTACGTAATAATATAGTCAACAGCATCGATAAAAAATGAATATATATATACATATAATTGATAAATCAATAAATAAATCAATAAATAAATAAATAAATAATATATAATTATATATATAATTATATCTAATTAATTAATTCATTAATTAATTAACTATATATATATATATATTGAGACCAGCCCAAGATTGGAAGTAAAAAGTGAAATGTCAGGAGAGCAAGTGGAGCTGTGCCCGCAGAGATAGTCGCTTGCTAAGCTGCTCAGAACCATGCTAAGCAGTTTCGCGCACATCCAAGCAGGGCATCAAGGAGAGTTATATACATGTCAGGTAAACTCCTATCCACTTGACGATTGATACTTTGAGGGTAAAGGTAACATCTCAAAGAACCCTCAACCAATCTTAGATATCCTTCAAAACATTATCTTTTTAGCTTGTTCGGATCTCACATTTCCGCGTTGTTTTTTGTAAAATATGAAAGTCCTAAGTCGTGGCCATCCGAGGCTTACTTGGGGAGTGCAAGGCTGAGGTTATTATTGGCAACATAGCCATGGGCCATGGTGAACTAAACCTCCATAAGTTGGGATATAACTTATAACCTCTACAACTATGATGAAATCTACCCACTTAGTGAACCCTGGAACTGCACTGCCAAGTAGTACGTGTCGGATTAACATTGTCTTTTTACCTAACCAGTTTGGTAAATATATCCCCATTCATAGCAAAATAGTGCAACATATGAGAGTCCCAAAGTAGCCATTATATATATAACTATACCCATAGTTGCAGGATTGTAAGGCTTATATCCCAACTTATTAGCTTTTATAACACTATTGCTTACAACTGGAACTGCACGGCTCCAAGGCTTTCTCCGGTCCCGAACCGCATCGGTAACCGCTCTCCGCCCAGGTGCCTCTGGTCCATTGGGTGTACATCGCACCAGAATCTGCGACCCGGTTTGACCAGGGGCATGGAAATCGTCACGGTTCTCATCAAAGATAACTTTGAGTTAATAATTCACAATAGTTATTCAATAGACTTAGTATTGTTATAGACTTGTCAACTATTCATGGTCGACAACAATAGTAATTATTGCAATAGACTGATCAGTTATCATCAATAATAACTATGAACATAACTTACAGAAAGTCTATGACTGAGATTACTGTAGCTATCATGAATACAGTGATTGAAAATAAAAATAATGTAATAATAATAATTGATAAAATATCATGCTAAGTTTATGACCTGACAAACCTTTCTGACATTGAAAAATGACATGTGCTTCGTAAGTTCTTACAAGTGACTCCGGGCTATCATCAAAACAACAGTCATTGTTGCCGTTGGGGTACTCGAATTTGCAAACCACACAAAGAAACCTGCAAGTAAGAAACTGCTTTGTTGTTTTGAGCGCCCTGCAAGACATTAGTAAATAATATGTGTGTATATATATATATGTATATAAATATATGAGGTTGTCAGACAGATTCACCGGTTTCACAAAGATCTTGTATGCCAATTGATTGACTAAGGGAAAAGTTACGGTCCCGGAATTCCTGTATTCCAATGAACAGGTTTTGAACAGCTGGATTTCAACTAAAAAAATGGATGCGACCTCAATATGTTTCATGTTTTTTGTGGTTGACCAATCAACATGCTCAGAACATCACCAACCAGAATAACAATAATTTAAGCAACAAAAAACAGTTGTATCGACATGTTTCTTGTTTCTGCGGCTTCAAACATCACCTAGAAAGATATTTGCAGCATTGCTTAGCTGTCCACCCCCGAAACGTTACGTTGATACAAGGAGCCTTGTGATATCGAGTACGCATGCCCCGAGTAAATCTTGGTGCTCGTACTTGAGGAGGTGGATACTTAACCGAAGGGCTATATCATGCCCCACAGCAAATGCCTGGGACACTGATCCCGAAAGGGAGCTCTGATCCCGAAAGGGAACTCCAACCCAAAAAAAACCCGTCCATGCCAGGAAACTCAGGAAGCCGAGCATCCACCTGACCCCTTGTCGTGACGAAGTGCCCAATTGTCCACACTGCAGTTTGGAGTGCCGAAGAGGTGTCCGCTCCCATGCTCACGGCGTCCCGGCGTACTTCCGTGAGTAAGAGGACCACTCTCCACTAGACGTGGTGTGGTGGTTTGTAAGCCAATATGAAACTTTTGTTGCCATGGTTGCTCCAAACACTTTTCTCCTCAAGGTTATGTAGCTCTTAGCCAAATCCTGCATGGTGGCCATCGAGTTGTTTTTTGATCACATTCAGGGCCTGGGATGTGCCTTTGGCAATGCAATCTTTGAACACCGCCATGGAGACCAAGGCCACTTGGGCCTCAGCCTCCAAAGCAGTCCTGTTGCGGGGGACTTTGATGGAAGTTCTGCTTTACTATTTCCAACCTTGAAAAAACAAAGCCTCTCACCAACCGTTCCATCAGAAGCAACGCTGCCAGACTCTGTCAATTCCTGTCCAGCCACCCACCCATCAAACACACAAAAATCAGGTTGCCTATGAAGAAACCAATTTGCTTTTTGCAGGCCCTGGAAAAAGCAAATTCCAACGCAATTCCTTTTTTGTTTTTTTGCAGTCCCTGGAAAACATATCCCAGTTCACTTCCTATGTTTTTTTTCCACGGCCTGGAAAAAACAAATTCCAATACACTTCCGGTTTCATCCAATCGCAGGAACCGAAACGAACCGACCTCACCCTGTGAATCCCAAAAAAAAACCCATAAAAATCACAATTCCTATGGGATAAATCCACCAT